GCCCTAGGAGCCTTCTTGGCCCTAGGAGCCTGGGATGGCAGTGGGGGAGCTTCCTTCCGGGTGCTGGGACCAGCTGAGCTTCACTGCCCTAGGAGCCTGGGATGGAGGCAGGGAGCTTCATTCCGGGTGCTGGGACCAGCTGAGCTTCACTGCCCTAGGAGCCTGGGATGGAGGTGGGGAGCTTCCTTCCGGGTGCTGGGACAGGCTCACCTTCTTGGCCTTAGGAACCTGGGATGGCAGCGGGGGAGCTTCCTTCTGGGTGCTCTGGATTTCTGATTAGTTACGACCACAGGTATGTACTACTATGCTAGTTTTCCAGACCTTTTCATGTTGTCTCAGAGGGAGTTAGCAAGGCACATTAATAAATTAATTTTAGATCTTCAGATAGCTCTTAAGTAGTGATTTAACAATCTCATATCCCGTTAATATAATAAATCTTAGGAAGTCCTACCTTTGTTTTTCACAGTGGTCATCTCCATCAGAAGCAACTAAAAGTTTCCTTTCAGAAGAAATTTGGCTGGCACCCCCACAGTTCTATGAAATAAGAAGACTTGAAAACTTTGCTTCTCTTTCTAACTTGCACAAATTTTGTTTGGAGCATGCATCAGAAGGGGCTGAAAGATGGCTGCCTATCATCTGTGTAACTGCTGATGGGATGGTCTTTCTTTATCCAGGTAAAGTAGTGGAACATCAATGCTGCTGTTAGTATTAGCACAGTGCAGTGGGCTGTCCAGCAGTACTATTCAACAGACATGAGTTATAGTCAGTATTTTATAGCCTATAGGATATAACTTAAATACTGTCAAAGTTTATAACATCTCCATAGTGTTTATTATAACCCAAAATTCTGAATGTTGTATATACACATACATGTATACATTTATGTAAATATATAGTGATACTTTGGTTTACAAATGCTTTGGTTTGTGAACAGTTTGGTTCACAAACCCAAGCATTTGGCAAAATTTTGTTTTTGTTTGCAAACTCAGCTTCCGGTGATGAACACAGCTGTGTCCATTTTTCCTGGACGAACACGAACGTGGCCTCTTTTCCAGAATCATTAATGAATGAATTAAGTTTGTGAACCGAGATTCCACTGTGTTTCCTAAACATTAACAGAGTTCCTTTTCATATACTGTCTCACTTTTTCACATTTTAATTTTGAATTATGAGAATTTGTAAACTGCCAGATTACTTAAATTAGGAAATTTGTTGATGGTCAGTTGGAGTGGGATGAGCACAGGTTAGAGATCTGTGCCAGGGATTTTGTGACCTGTTATACTTCGTGTTTGACTGGTCAGTTCCTGAGAACAATGGTAAGATTTGTTATTCAACCTACAGGGGGACAATTTAGCAGTTTTAATGTAAATCATAATTTCTTTAAATTAACTTTCAGGTTATCAAAACACCCCACAATGAAGCACCAGAAGTATGGATCTCAAGACCAATATTAATGTCAATGTTGAATAGACTAAAGAGAGTTATGAACTAGTATAAAAGTACGGTTCACAATGAAGACTTTCCGGTGTAACTTTAGGTCACCCAAGAAAATTTTTGGCTGGGGATGGATATATTAAAAATAAAAGAAATATATTGAGATAAACTCTTAAAATTAGAGTTATTTAACAACTCAGTTTCAATTATATGACATAGATAAATATTGATTTGTGTGTCCCCAGTAAATATATTGGAATGATGTATCAAAAAATATTTTATGGAATAAAATTTTATTATTTTTCAGGAGATGAGCTATACTTAGAAGATTCAGACTTTTTAGAAAAGGTTTTGTCTACTGAAAAAAAGACTGAAGAAATCATGAAGGAAGGCAAGAAACTTCACCGATTAGTGCAACACAGCAGGCATCTCTATAGCATTCATGTGACTATTCAGTCAAAGGGTAAACACATTTACCCTAAGAACTATGTGGTAAATAAGAGCCATTTGTAGGGTGTAGCTTCTTTGTAAGCTAGCCTCCTTGAAGTACAGTTCATGATTAATAAGAGCCAACCATATTTGCTTAAAATTTAAGGAACTTTGTGCCTATAAAAGTTATAATGCAGTGTTTCTTATTTCAAGTGGACATCTCTTGTTTTATTGTATAAACTATATAGCATCCACATTATAAAATTTATTAATGATTTTGTTACCAAAGTAATAAAAAATTCACAATGTTTCCTACTTCTATATTGCTTTATTGGCTCTCCTGTCATTATTTTAACTGTTCCTTGTAGTAGCACTTTCCCTGATATGCTTTGGAGGTTGATCCATGAATTTTCTTTATGCTGGAATTAATTTATGGGTACATGATTAGTGAACAGTAAACTGAGACAATCTTCAAATGATAAAGTTTAAAATAAAATGGCATTAGTTATTATGTTTCCCAAATTAGAAATCTATTTTAGTTACTATTTTAAAGAAACATGAAGTGATAGAAAAACTCTGAAGTGCTAGTTAGTGAATGCAAAGGTCAGGGTTACAGTGTTAAAAATTAAGTTTACTTTCAGTGTGCTTTTTTTTAGTACTGGGGATCGAACTTGGGACCTAGTGCTTGCAAGTCAGGTGGCGGAACCACCGAGCTAAATCCCCGGCCCAATATGGGTAATTTTTTTTTTTTTAACCTGTCTAAAGAGGAATAGTTTTTTTTGTTGATTAAAGGTAGGAAATGATAGTTAAGACAATTCTACTTTAAGAGCTTTGACTATATTATGTGTTAATGGATTTTTTTCATGAAATGTCTTAGTTTTCTACTCAAGATGAAGGCAGTGATAATAAAGTTTATATGTATATTTAATGCTGCACTGGAGCCAGGTGTTGTGGCTCACGCCTGAAATCCCATCACTTGGGAGGTTGAGGTAGGACGATTGCTGTAAGTTTGAGGTCTGCCTGGGGTACATAGTGAGTTCAAGGGCAGCTTGAACTGCACAGTGGGATCTTGTCTCAAAAAACAAAAAACGAAAACTGCACTGGCTGTCAACATGGGCATTTGCCCTTGGGAGTTTTTGGCTATTTCTAGAAACATTTTCATGGGTCACAACTGGAGGAGATACCATGGCCATCTAGTGGACAGATGCCAGTGATGCAGTTAAATGACCATGTGCAGGATAGCAGCCCAAAACAATTATCTAGCCAATGTTATGAAACTTTGAACTACAGTAAAATCCATTTTTTTATTGTTGTTTATTTAGTAAATGGTCCCAATATATAAGTTTTGAGAACCACTGTTATTTAGTTACTGTTATTTTATCCAGCTTCTGAGTCTACAAAAATCTTTGACTTTAAGCCTTTAACATATACTTTGATTCTCACAGAATATTAGAATGCTACAGCTAGAAGGGATCTGAGTAAACATCATGATTTTGCCAGTGAGAAAACAAGAGTCATGCAGCTAGGTGGTTCCACAGCCAAGGGAAGAGCTTTATCCCCAGCCCTGTACCCTCTTCACTAGAGTTCTTATGTAATGTGACTGGTTTTTGTCATAGAAAAGATACAGTTCAACTTGGTACTGTTTTTTGTGGTTGGTTGATTTTATTGAGATGGGTCTCACTGTGTTATAAAGGCTGGCCTTGAACTTGTGATCTAAATCTGAATGGATCTTAAAATTACTTATGGGAGACTATCACATGACTTCCTACCAGCACTGATACCGTTTCAGTAGTCCAAGATAATAGGACTATCTTCATGTGCCAAAAAATTACACTGTTGTAGTGCTCAGTTCATGTTCATGGCATTTATTATGCATACTGGCTTTCTTACCTAATGGCTACCTGGGCTTCATATACAGAAGCAGAAAGCCGACTACGGTATTTATTCCTATTCCTCCTTGTCACCTTCGAATTGGTATCCCTACTTGTCTTAATCACTTTCCTGTTGCTGGGACAAAATACCCAATACCTATAACTTAAAAGAAGAAAGGTTTATTTTTGCTCATGGTTTTAGTCCATGGTTGGCTGGCTCCAAGGCAGAAATTTCACAGGAGAGGAAAGTTGTTCAACTCATGGAAGCCAGTAAGCAGGGAGAGAAGGGAGATGAACTGATGAGTGTCCAATGATTAGTACAGCACCCTCATGATCCAAACACATGAGACTTTTGGAGCAGTTTTAGATCTTAAACCATCACATTCTGTTCCTGGGCATTTGGGTTCATATGCTCAGGTTTGTTTGCTCACCCCTGACCAAATCAAAAGAGGCCATTTATTTTGCTAAAAAGGAAAAGATTTATTCAAAGCTAGCTCTGAGGAGACAGAGGGACTCATTTGCTTCAAATCACTATCTCACCATGTGCACGTGTGTTGGGGTCTTTTACAGCGTTTACAGTGAGGAGCAGTGGGGGAGGGAATACAGTGGAACAACAGATTTTCAGGAAGATAAAAATTACAAAGACAATCAGATTTGTGAGTTTGTCACAGTAACAGGATACACTAGACAGTATGCATAAAATATTGAAGTTTTGGAAAAGGATGCATATAGTTGATAATTCTGTATCAGCCATATGTGAATACCACAGAAATAATCTTCATTTACATATGGACTGAAGATTCCACCCTCTCTGAAAAGATTCATGATAGGGAATGCCATAGTTGACTGAAAGATTATGCAACATAAAAAAGCTCACTTTTTCAGTAGGAGTGTGCAGTAGAAATCCTGATGGTGAGTGTGGAAATCAAAGAAATATGGAAAGTAGGTCTGAGTAGTTACATATGGCTAAGAAGCACTGCAAATACAAGATTCCAAATTTTGGCCTGTTTTGTAAAAGAAAATACACCTTTTTCATAAAAATAATTCAGTTCAACAATCTCAGATTATACTGCCATAAATAAGAGTGGCTACAGGAGAAATAACAAGAGGAGGGGTAAATAGCTGCAGATTTGTATTACAAATACTTTTGTAGGTATGGTTTAGGTACAGGTTGCATGCAAAATAACATTCATTCAGAGCCTCAGTGCAGTAAGCTCCTATTACAGGAAGCATGATTCTTTGTCCCAGTATGATGCACAAGTGTTTTATTTTCTCTAGGCCATGTTGTGAAAGAAAAGCTTGCAAAACACCATACTGTGGCATGTAGGGATCAAGTCAAAGGCTGAAAAGGTTGTCCCACACTATGACTGGGAGAAGGTGTCTTGTCACCAGTTCAGACTGAGGAGGCTCACTTGAGATTTGGGAAGCCCAAAAAGAGACACAGAACTGTGGACTGGGTTAGACATCTTTTATTCAGCTGTTTAGCTATAATCCACCTGTGTGGCTGCTCTTGCAGTTCCCCACCATCGTACACTACTGGCAGTCCTCAGGACTCTAGCCTACCCATGCTCGTACCAGTCTTCAGCTGCTTACATTTACCCCAAAATACACAAAGGTGGCCACGTGCCAGTAATGACTTTGGGTACATTATTTACACTGAGCTTGCACTCAAATCTTGATGACTTGGACTTAATGTCCACCAGAAATCACCTTCCAAGCCTGAACCAAAGTGTAGCTGTCTTGTGCTTTGCTGCTGCCCCAAGAAGGTTCTATTTTCTGTCTTTGGGGCTTGGGGACTATCTCTGGGACCTCGTTAAATCATATCTTATGGTTTCCATCTGCAGCTTTCAGGTGAGCTGGCCTTGCCAGGTGCCCTGACTCAAGGTTGGTGTGAGGACCTGATTAGCAACAGGTGAAATTCATGCATTCTGCAGCAGCGTTTTTCTCCTCTGGCAGTCACTTACCATTTCTGACTCTCCTGCTTGAGATATTTATTAAGCATCTATTTATGGGACCTTGTGAATTTTTATTTTTATTTTATTTGGTGGTGGTGATTGTGATGATAGGGCTGGAACCCAGGGCCTTCACACTAAACTACATCCCCAGACCTTTTAATTTATTTAATTTTACTTTGAGATAGGGGTCGCCTTCACAAGTATCCGACTTGCTGCCTCTATGGTGATCAAGGGTTCAGGTCAGGTCACTGCTTCTGGGGCCATGTGCCCACTTCTGGAAAAGGCCCCAGCCTGTTTTCGTTATTGAGGGAACACGGATTTCTCCAACTTAAGCATTTCTAATTGAGCCTGTTTTCTCACCTAAAAATTAAGACTCGCAGAGTGGTTCTCAGAGTTTGATGTTATCACACTGTGAAACCAGAAAGCTGGGTCCCCACTCATTCTTTTATTTCGACGCCGCCACAGGTGCGCTTGGCTTCAGTATCCATACTGCGCAGGCGTGAGCATCACGTGCGCGCCAAATGCCGGTAACCGCCCACCTGTGCGTGGAGCCTTCAGGTGCGGTAGAACCCGGCACGAGGGCAAGGGTTAGAGGGACGCTTAGTTTGTCACCTCACGCGCAGGGCCTCTGAAGGCTAGGGACTTATCTGCCCTCTGACTTACCTGTCTGAAGGGGCAGTCAGTTCCTCACCGTTGCCTTCCAGGCGCCCGGGAAACACGACCTCCTGGCGGGCCCTCCCGACGCCGGAGGGCGGAGACGAAGAACTCTGCGCATAGGCTCGAGGACGCAGCGGGCAGTGGAGGGCTCAGGATGCTGGAGGTGCTGGTGCTGAAGGTGAGGGCGGCGCGGGGCGGTGTGAGCCCGGGATTCGGATAAGCAGCGGGGAGTTTGGCTGAAGTTTGTCTCCTGTGCTGCTGGGGATTTACAGTGCTACATTACTACGGGTGGTTTCCCCGAAATTCAGATGAAACTTGCCCCGTGCGTGTGAATATACGATCTCTCCTTTTTCTTTTCTTCTCTTTTCCTTTTTTCTTTTTTGGTCTTCTTTCTTTCCCTCCTTTATTTCCTTTCCTCTTATCTTCCAAGGCCTTTGAACTCAGCTACATCTTTTTTTTTTTAAATCTTGAGACAGTCTTTAAAAGACGTTAAATTGCCCAGTCTGAGCTCGAACTTGCCATCCTCCTGCCTCAGCCTCCCAGAGTGCTGGCGTCACGCTTGTGCCACCACGCTCGGCTTGCCCAGTATTAACTCCTCGGAACCCGGTCCCGCGCACACCCCTTCCACGCACGTGTATTGGACGCAGGGCGGTGACCTGTTCCCCTCCCCCGATGTGAGCACAGCTCGGTCTTAAGTCTCCCGCTTTGCTTATTACACCGTTCCGCTTGGGGCAGTGTGAATGTCCCCGGCCGCTGTGGGGTGGCCACCTTTGGGTCTTTGCAACAGGTGATGCTTCTTGGTGGATTGGGAACATGTGCTGCTTGGAGGAAGGAGCTTGCAAACAATCACAAATGACCAGGCCTGGGTTATTGGAAAAAGGGAATATAAGTTATTTTAGAATCATGCTTCAGTAGGCAGAGAAGAGACACATAGAAAATAATGGGATTTTAAAAATCATCCTATTTTATGTAATTTTTCTGCACAAAGATGCACGAACGTTTATAACACCCCACTCTATAATTAGACGATTTGCCCTGAGATTTTAGAAGTTTCAGATTTGCCTGGCAAGGTTCTCTTCATCACATCAGGTGTTGTCAACCCATCCTAACTTTGGTGACTAGATTTCTCCTCTAAAAAAGACAAGGCTGTTCCAGAACTGGAGATCCCTCCATGTGGAGGTCCATGGGGGAGAACCTTGGCAAGAGGAGCTGGACTCTGCTTCCTGCTTGGGAAGTCCTCTCCTCTCATTTGGCCCTTGGGAACCTTTTTCTTTGCCCTGTTGCCTCTGACCTGCCCTTACTTCTGACTCCTACCCAACTCACCCACTGAGGAAATTCTCTGTCCTGTATAGGAGTACATATTTCATCAAGTGTGGTACAGATACCACTTGTCCTCCATATAGCTTTTACGTGGATAAAATATTTCTCAAGTGTCCAATACTGAATACAATATTGTTTAACCTTAAAAAGGAAGGAAAACTTGATGTACAATTCAACACGAGTGAGCCTTAAGAACATGTTAAAGCCATTCACCATGGGACTGTGCTTTTCCAAGGCAACAGCTAAAACTATTTCAGCCTTCCAGCTGTTTGTCTTCTCTGACTCTTTTAGAGTCTTACCTAAGCAATTCATGGTCAGCCAGGATGTGGGGGAGGGTTCATATGGAGGTTTGGGGGCTCCTCCATGGTTCTCCTTTTCTGATTTTTTCCCCTTAGTTTTCAGCTGCCCTAGAAGCCCCCAAAATCTGTTTTCTTATTTTCAAGCCTCAAAATGTACAAACATTCAGAAGACTAAAAAGAATACTAATGTAAACAACCTGTATTCCTTCCTCAGCCTCCCAAGTGCAAGGATTACAGGGATACACCATCATGCCTTGCTGAGAATCTTGATGTTTTACTTTGTTTTGTTTTATGTAGCCCAGGCTGGCCTCAAACTCATGGTGATCCTCTTGTCTTAAACTACCAAGTGCTGGGATCACAGGCATGCACCACCATGCCTGGCTGAGAATCTTGATTTTTTTTTTTTTTTTTTGGTACCGGGTATCGAACTTGGGTCCTTGCACTTTTGAGGCAGGCTGTAGAACCACTGAGCTAAATCCCTGGCTGAGAATCTTGATTTTTAGTAACAGTATATCACAAGATACATTCACTGAGGTCTTTTGTTCTGTCCTAGTCCACTCTTACCTCTTCCAGTAGCTAATAGTATATATTTGTTTTATCTATTTTAAAAATAGCAGAATGTAAATATATTTCTCTTTCTTACAAAAGATTAAAAACATTGTACTGAATCTTATAGATATCATTATGAATATTTTTTAAAATGTAGGAGATCAAGAGCCCTGTTTATAGTCATAACATGAAATTGAGAATTATTTGCATATTATTGCTTACATGCTTTGGAATTCATCTTTGACCATTTAAGAATAAGATACTTGTCAAGAACTTGTTAGATCACAAATTAGAAAAAGTTATTTTGATTTTAAGTTTATTATTTTACAGTTCTTTTAAATCAAAAATTTTATCTTCTAAAAAATTGTTTTTTGTCTTCTAAAATTTTTGTAGATTGAAGATCCAGATTGCTTCTGGGTTGTTATAAAAGGATGTAGTCCTTTTTTAGATCATGAAGTCGACTATCAAAAACTAAATAGTGCCATGAATGACTTCTATAATAGCAGGCATCAAAATACGGAAATAAAACCGTTGATTTTGGAAGAAGGGCAGGTATGTATCAGATGTGCTTTAATCACCATGCCTTGAAACACTACTCAGAATGTAAAATATGTTGGTCCCTAAGGTGATGAAAGCCTTTGGAATATTTTGGTTGTTTACAATCATCGCCCAGTGTTAGGTTTGATAGGTTGCGTGAGATTTAGGCCAGTCCTAGAAAGGAAGGGTTGTTGTGCAAGGCTTATAGTGTGCAATAGGAGATGGCATGTCATCAAGATCCAGGCACTGGGGCCATCCTCCTGGGGCTGGGAGCCAGGAGATGGTCTTGGATCCAACACAGGTGTAGAGATTTCAGCAATGAGGGCCTGGATTTTCAGTCTAGGGCTGATGCCTGCCTTGACATTGCTCGTGACTTTGGCAGCTCACACTGCTTATCTCTGTATTCCACATCATGGCCTCTCTTTGCCTTCTTGCAGAATCAGCCTCTCATTGTTCATTGTTCTTGACAGGTCAGCTGTTTTTCAGAAGAGTTTGAATTTTTTTTTAATAGTGTAATGGGAAAAGATTTATACAATATGAGAAAACTAGAAAATATTTGTATTCCTCCTCCCAAAATCATAGTAACAGTTTACTTTTTGTAGGTGTATGTAGTATTGGAGATCAAATCCAGGGTCTTAGCACTGAACTACATCCTCAGCCCTTTTTAAATTTTAAGACAGTCTTGCAGAATAACTTCTAAGTTGCCCTGCTGGGCCTGAACTTGTAATCTTCCTGCCTCAGCTTCCCAGAGTGCTGGTATTACAGAATGTGCCATGTCTGGTTTTTTAAAAATATTTTACATTTTTAATATGTTGATTGCTGTTTGGTGGAGGTAGTTTTAACTTTTCACTCTATCCTCTGTATTTTCTGTGGTTTGATATTTAAATACAGTTAAATATAAAATTCTAGGTAAGTTCAGGGTCAGGTTTTTTTTCCCAAGAACGTTTGCTCTTTGAGCTTCTTCTTGTATTAAATTGGGAGATAACATCACTTGTGGCCAGTGGATTTGGATAGTGAGAGCCTGACACCTCCCTCTGCCCCCACTTTGGTAGTTGCCTGTCAGTCATGCACTGATCTCTCCATTCAGTGACCACTGCTGCCCAGTCAGCTTTCATTCATGCTTGTATCATGGTAATTTTTCTTATTCCTTCTGCATTCATGAGCTGGGGTTCTTCTGTGTAGAACTTTCCCTTATTTATTGTATTACACTCAAATAATTAAGTTGATACTATAAAGATTTAAAAATTACTTGATTCTTTCCCTTAGAAATTTTCAGTATAATGCTTTGTGTCTGCATATCTCCACTGGTGTTCAGATGTGTCTTTTTCACCCCTCCTTTTTTTCTTGTGCTGGGGATTGAAACTAGGGCCTTGTGCATGCTAGACAAATGTTCTGCCACTAAGCTATGTCTACAACCTCATTTCTTTTCATTTTTAAGTCACATTTTGATCTTCATGGCTTTTTAATATATTTATCAGTTGCAGTCACTGTTGTTACTTAAATTGTCCCCTTTTTGGCTTGTAGAAGCTCTAGTGTAACCCACTTTCAAAGTTTTACTGCTATGTGAATTATTAACTGTTCAAACTATTCCTACAAGTTGCTTTGATTTTAGTGTAAATAGAAATACCATTTATCCTTTGTCAGGATTTCTCTTGAGTCATTTGAGGTTCAAATTATGTGAGGTACTCAGGATCCTATCCCTTGCAGTGTGGCTATAACTGCATTTTCCAGTTTCCATTCCTAAGGTCTGGAATCTGCTGGCAGGCCTCTTTCCAGCTTGGGCACAGCTTCTCCTCTGGGTGGCTTTAGAAGCCCGTGGTCAGTGTGTGGTCTTCTGGGCTATGGGTGGCCAGTTCAGTTGCTGTGGCCTGGTGGTCCTGCCATCTAGTCAGCATGGTTCCCCTTAAGAGGGACTAATGCAGGCATTTATTTAGTAAGCTGTTTGACAAGTGGGTTTTGTTATTCTTGGTGTTTGTTTGCAGTGCTGGGGATTGAACCCAGGGCCTTCCCACTGAGCTACATGCCCAGCCCTTTTTTATTTTCTATTGTGAGACAATGTCTTTAAGTCAGTAAGTTGCCCATGCTGGGCTTGAACTTGTGATCCTTATGCCTCAGCTTCTAAGAGTGCTGGGATTATAGCCACCATGCCTGGCTCAACAAGTAGTTTTGAAGACTCAGTATGAGCCAGGCTATGCTAGGAACTGGGATCATGGCAATAAGCATGATCATGGAGCCAGCCTCCACTTGTGACAGATAGTAAGCAAACAGTAGAGGGCAGGAAAGGCCATGAAAGAGAATGGGAGGATGAACTTGGGGTTGCAGTTTTCCAGTGGTTTGATGCAGCATTGCCAATCATTTGTAATTGTGAGCTTTATTTTTCTGATTTAAAAAGGTAAGGCAATGCATTTTTAAAATTTTGCTTTCTAAAAATTGTCCTTAGTTAAGGAGTCAAAATTATTTTACAGTAGTCTCTCATCTGTAGGGGATATGTTCCACAACCTCCCATGGAGGCCTAAACTGTATACAGTATATAAACATGTACATCTACATATATGTACATATACAAGTATGTGTGTATGCATGCTTAGGATAAAGTTTAATTTATAAATTAGTCACAGTAAGAGATTAACAACAGGGCCAGGGGTTTAGCTCAGTGGTTTTGTCACCTGCCTCGTATATGCAAGGTCCCGAGTTCAATTCCTGGTACCAAAAAAAAAAAAAAAAGATTAACAAAAACCAGTGATATAATAGAATGCTTATAACCATATACTTGTGTGTTAGCTGTCCATCACTGTGACAAAACTTCGGATATAAATCAGCTTAAAGGAGGCAGGGTTTCTTTAGGCTCCCATGAGCCTAAAAGTTTCAGTCTAAAGTCAGCCAGGTCCATTGCTTTTAGGCCTGTGTGAAGCAGAAATATCATGGTGAAAGGCCAGCAAGAAAGGGAAAGGGCCAGAGGTCAGATATATCCCCTAAAGTCACACCCCTATAATCGCCTCCCTTCTGCTAGCCACCACTCCTGTTCCATCACCCCCCACTAATGGCATATAGTTATGATTCTTATAGTCTAATCACTTCCCAGAAGCCCATCAGCTGGCCTTTAGGGGACATTTTAGATCCAAACTGTAACAATACCATAATAAAAGTTTCTGCTTTAGGGCTATTAAGTAAAACAAAAGTTTCTTTCTTTTTTCTTTTCTTTTTTTTGGGCGGGGGCAGGTACCAGGGATCTATCTTGGGAGCTTGAAAACAAAGGTTTCTTGAGCATAAGCACCTGGGATCTGTAGTAGCTCGTCTGGTAACTGAGACAGCTGCTAAGTGACTTAAGGGCTGGATGGGTCACACATATGGTGTGGCTGTGCCAGACAAAAAAGCAATTCATGTTATAGGCTTTGTAGGGGTGAGATGGTGCAAGATTTCCTTGTACTACTCAGAACAGAGCCCACCTTATAACTTATGAATTGCTTACTTCTGGAATTTTCCATTAATATTTTCGGACTGTATTCATCTGTAGGAACTACTGTAGTAAAAACTGGAACAGATTGCAGGTGACCTATGTCCTTCCTTTTTTTTTTGGTACTAGGGATTGAATTTGGGTCTTTGCGCTTGCGAGGCAGGCGGTAGAACCACTGAGCTAAATCCCCAGCCCTCTATGTCCTTCTTGAAGTTCTTTTCCTGACAGGCTGTGTTTGGTTAGGGCAGGTCCATCTCCCAGCATCTCTGTCCTCTTCTATGAGTTAAAATGCAGGGCAATACGATTTTGAGAGGAACTTTTTATTTCTGTCATTATGTGACTGGGTATTTTAGCAGGGAACTTAAAAAATAAAACCTTGCTCTTTATTTTGTAGGTTTGTGTGGTCTATTGTCAAGAGCTAAAGTCCTGGTGCAGGGCTGTTATTAAATCAATCATACTTTCAGAAGACCATTACCTGGCCAAGTGTTTCCTGGTGGATTTTGCCAAGTACATTCCAGTAAAATCTAAAAAGTATGTACGTTGTTTATTTCACCTTACGTTCTTCAAGGAGAGAGATGTCAGTTTGGACAAGGAGAATGTTAGTTTTTAAGGGGATATAGAGGTCATTCCCTTTTGAGAAAAGATAAAATAGGAATTTCTTAGCTTCAAGAAGGCAGCACTTGCAAGTTCCAATTCTTCACCTACTGATTGGAAGAGCAGGTAATCAAATTGAGGACAACTCTGGCCCTTGGCCTCCTTGCTTCTGGAGAGGGCAGGTCAGGTCCAGGCCCTTCTGTCTGCATCTCCTGGACTCATTTGCCAGGTGCTCTGTGGTCTGGCCCCTCAGATGATGAGGTGAGTCCCTTAGGGAAGTGTGGCCCCCAAAAAGACACTAGTGCAAGGTAGGAGAGGTTGCTGGCCCAAGCTCAAGTTGCAGAGAGCAGAGTACACACTCAAGTATGTAGTCCTGAGACTTTTCTTCTTCACACATGAGGATGAAGAAACATACCACAAACAGCAAGAGCACAGCCTGATGCCAACTGGGCAGCCACAGGTCAGTTACTGGAAAATTCTAGCACAAGTTGTTCTTGGTGTTCATGATAACTATTCCATAGTTTCCTTCCCAAAGTAAGAAGTCGTCAGTTTAATAAATAAGTAGGAGGATACTTCTTCCACTAAAGAAGGAGCAATGTCAAATAGACGTTAATAGCAATAAGAGAGGTCTCTTAAGAATCTCATGGCAGAAGGGCTTGTTAGACATTGGGAAATTACAGATATTTAAGGAAAAAAGATGGCTTTCCAGGTTGTGATTCTGTACCTTGATAATTTTATTAAAATTACTGTTATGCTTAATGTTGGGTAGCTTTTCTTTTTGTATTTGGTATTTTAAGTTTAGCTTGTTTTGGGACGAGAACTATATGCTGAGATAGAGCTGTTGAAGCAATTAGTGTAGCACCTGTTGGAGATAGAAGACAGTGCAACTGGCTATGCTTGACACCTGGAATCCAGGGAAAAGAACTGGCTTATGTTTAAATAATATCTTTTTTTTTTGGTACTGGGGATCAAACTCTGGTCCTTGCGCTTGTGCAGCAGAAGGCGAAACCACTGAGCTAAATCCCCGGCCTTTAAATAATATCTTACCATCATCATTGGCCTGAAGAAGAATAGAATAAGAATGTAGAATTTCTTATTTGTTAAATGTCAATCTTTTGCCTCTTTTGTGCTAACAGCAATTTATTATTGAAACATCCATTTATATACAGAAACTTTTTAGTTTATAGAAACTTCAGTGTGATTCTAGTCAGATATTGAAATTGATACTTAATCTTAAACAGAATTTTCTTCACAGGTTTTGCTCATCATTACTCAATATTTCTCAACCTTGGCATCCTCTCTAGACCTTTTTTCCTGAACTCCTGCCCCTGTGCTGTGAAATGTTAATACCACAGAAATATTTAACATCTGCTTATGCACCATGTGTACCTGTGCTTTATATACAAAGAGTGTATTTTCCACTCAAGAAGCAGCTTTTATCCCCTAGACCAGTGATAGCAAACTTTTTAGACCTTTCAGTGATAATGAACAGCCCACCATGGCACGTGTGACCTAGACAGAGTGTCTTCAAGCACTGTTGGTAGCTAGATTGGAAACAGAATTGTTTCTGTTAAGTATATTAACTATATAGATGTACTTTAAATGAAATGAATTTATTGTATATAATTTTGTTTATAATGGATCTCTCTTTCAAGCATCTGTGTTGCAGTAGAATCTTTTATGCAGCTCCCCTATAGAGCAAAAAAATTCAGACTCTATTGCACAAAACCTGTTACATTACACATTGACTTCTGTGAAGACAATGCTGAAATTGTGTAAGTATAGCTTCTTAAATAACTTAAATCATTAAAAAAAGCCTTAAGTCAAGTGTGTGATGATTATTTGAAATTAGGCCCCATGTGGAAGTGCTGAGAGTTTTTTGTTTTGGAGGAGGTGGGTTCTGAGTTTCTGTTGGTCAAACCTGCCCATGCAGCAGAATCTCATGGGTTAGCCCCATCTTCAGAGGCTGTGTTTGGGGGCTTTGGAGGAGGGCCTGAACTCATGCTTTTTATCTTTTTCTAAAAATTTATAAAAAGTAATAAATTACAGTAACTGTCTAGGAAAGCAAAATTTTGCTCATGGACCATTAAAAAGTTTATTATTGAGGTGCAGTGGTACATACTTGTAATTCAGCTACTTTGGAGGTTGAGGCAGGAGAATCAGGTGAGCCCAGGAGTTTGGGGCCAGCCTAGGTATCAGCAAAACCCCATCTCAAAAACAAAACAGCTGAGTGTGGAGGTACATACCTGTAGTCCCAGCACTTGAGAGGCCAGCCTGGGCTATTAGTGAATTCAAGGCCAATCTGAACTATCTAGTGAGACCCTGTGTCAAAAGCCCAAAAAACAAACAAGTTTATTACATTGTTCTCCAGCCTCACATTCTCTCTCCTAGGGGTCGTGGTCTATTACAGCTCTGAACTTCCAGACATTTGTCACTGTTTTATCTGTGTGGAACTTTAATGAAAATTAGAACATGCTGTCTTACTTTTAAAATTAGCTTAATAATGCATGTATATTGAAGCTCTTTACCAGTATGCGTCCCTCTTTTTAGTTTTTCAGTCTCTTTCATAGATGGATATAATTATCATATTTAACCATTCCTCTCCTAATAGCCATCTATATTGTTTCTAAACCATTTGGTACATCCACATAAAGTTTAAAAAAGATATAAAAATCATTTAATTTATGTACTATATAATAATTTAATATTTTAAAATATATGCTAAAATGATTAGGTAACTTTACATCCATATAAGCTACAGATATGGAAAGGTATACATATACACTCCCTCATCTTTGCTCCTTTTTCCTAGAACTCAGCTGTGGGGGTAGTGTTTGGACTGGATAGATCCCTGCAGCCCTCTGATACCTCTGGTGAATAGCTTGATTCCTGGTCCTGTGATTGGCTAGGCAGTCTTGTCCTCTACCTCTGGCCCACAGCACTATGGGAAGAAAAACCATTCAGAACAGTTCCAGTGATTCATTCATTATTATCATCATCATCATCATCATTATTTGGTTCTGGAGATTGAATGGAGGGGCTTCTACATTGAGCTACATCTTCAACCTTTTTTATTTTTTGAGACATAGTCTTACCAAATTACTCCGTTGCCCAGGCTGACCTTAAATTTGTGATCTTCCTGCCTCAGCCTCCTAAAGTGCTGAGATTACAGGCATGTGCTACCTGTCACACCCAGCTGAGAACAGCTGAATTCTGACTACTTGTATGTCCTGGTGATGTGGCATTATGCTCTCTGTACTGCGGAGCTGTTCTCTATGGATACTTGTATGGGCTCTTCTAAGACCTGAGACCTTCCTGTTTGCTCCCTACTCTCATCACCTGCAGTCTCTTTCAGGTAGTGAGTGTGTCACCTTGTGGCTGGCCTTGAATTCACACCAGTAGGATAAGAAGCAGCATATTTCCACAAGGCTGCCCTCCACCCATTCCACACCACTATTCGTGCACCTTTGCACAGAGACTGGGTTTGAGGACCCTGGAGCAGCAGCCTCACCGCCCCCCGCCCCTAGTCTGTCAGAGCAGGTGTGCAGCCCACTCCTCCTCAGAGGAAGCATGTGTCCTGTTCAACTTGCTCCTCTGTGCAGGACACTGCAGGCATCCTTGGGCCTTCTAGGATACCTCCAGTATAGATGAAGGGCCCATAACAGCTCATCTCACTCAGTTTTGTTTTGTTTTTTGAGACAAGGTCTCACTTTGTAGTTCAAACTGGCCTTAAACTATGTAGCCCAGGCTGGCCTTGAACTCATGGCACTTTTCTTGCCTCAGTCTCTTGAATGCTAGGATTATAGATGTGCTCCATCATGCCTGGCTGAGTTTTGATTATCTTCTTTGACATGTGATACCTGTTCATTTATCCTTCATCTAAAACATTTTCTTAATGTGTGTATTCTAATTTTCGACAGACTGTCAAATTTCCTACTTTCAATAGGATTAGCAATTTCTGTTACCATTATTCGGGTAGTAGAAAGTGATCCTTTTCCCATGCTACGTTGGCTGTTATGGGCTTTTTAACTGTTGCTTGTTTACTGGGTGGAAATGGTGCTTTGTTTTAATTTGTATTTTTTTTTTTTACTTACAGAGTCAAATATTCATGTGTTTATTCTGTGAGTGAGAGACTGATTGAAAATGAATTACTTGTTCATGTCCTAGATTGGTTTTTCACTTGGGTTTTGTTGCCTTATAGGAATCTAATATATTTGGTTTTTTAAAACTTTCTAGGTAATTTTTGTGTGTATAGCAAGATTTTAGAGCCACTAGCTTTTTTACTTCATTCTTTTATGAACCTTTTGTAATTCTCTTAAAGTAATGTGCTTAACTTCTCTCTTATTAAAAGTAAAAATAACAGAAAACCTTTTTGGTGTTAGGGATTGAACCCAGGGCCTTATGCATGCTAAGCATGATCTTTACCACTGAGTTAGAGACCCAGTCCCTGTGTACCTAATATTTTTGAATACTGATTATGTCTGAGTACAGTATTAGGCCACATGTTTTTGTATGTTACCTCATATGATGTTTAAGACAACTCTTGGAAGATGGTGGCAGGAACCCTGTTAACTGAAATAAGAAGCATAAAATGTATCATTTTAACTTTAAAATTTTATTTTTATTCCTTGCTTCCAAATACTGGTTTCTCCTGCTTTCTCATTGCCTAAAGATTTTATTTTTCAGTTTGTTTGTTTGTTTGAGACAAGGGCTTGCTGTGTAGTCCAGGCTGTCCTTGAACTTACTATGTAGCCTCATCTGGCCTTTCTCCCATGGTGATCCTCCTGCCTCAGCCTCCTGAGTGCTGGGATTACAGGTGTACACCACCATGCCCAGCCGTACCTACAGATTTAATATACAGACTGATCAAAAAATATAGTGTGCATTTAAATTTTAAAAAGTTTTATTACAGTAAAAGATGCATTGCTATTAATCTCCCTCAAAATACTCTTCCTTGCTTCAAACACATTTATCTCATTGTTCTTGCTGCTTTCTGAAGCAGGTCTGAAACTTTTCTTTTGTGAGTGTCTTTATGGGGTAGATCAAAAATATGTTGAAAAAAATATGTTGAATTCTATACCAAGTCTCATCCAGTAGAAAGGCAGACTCGTAAAAACATTATGGTGTCAGCTTTTTCACCTAGTCTGGCACGTTTTATCTTCTGGCTAGGGGAAGTATTGTGAGGGGGATTAAAGGCAATGTATCTATTTTTTTTTTTTTTTTTTTGGTATCAGGGATTGAACTCGGGACTTTGTACTTTCGAGGCAGGCGTCAGAACCACTGAGCTAAATCCCTGGCCCAAAGGCAATGTATCTTTTACTGTAATACATTTTTTTTTTTTTGGTACCGGGAATCAAACTCAGGACCTTGCGCTTGTGAGGCAGGTGGTGGTGGCACCACTCAGCTAAATCACCGGCCCCATACTTTAATACATTTTTAAAAATTAAATACTCATTGTACAGTTTAATCACACCTGATAGGAAGGCTGTAGAAAGAGCAAGCTGTTGGAAGTCAAGTGGGAGATGGCACCTGGGTGCTTGTCAGCAGAGTGAGAACTAGCATGGGATGATGACAAATTCCCCCTGACCACCTCTGAGAGTGCTGGTCTAGCCAGCGTATGGATCCATTTGCAGGACCTCTGCCCCAAGGAGTTGATGTTAGGGAGATAGATTTGTGATCAGGGCAAAGATGGTATTGGGACAGAAAATGCCATGGTATTGGGCACAGATATCTCACTGGGGCCTCTGTGCAATGTCACTGGTGCAGGTAACATTGCAGGATGCAGGCTCCCTGTTGTCTACACCATATGCTTGATATTTAATATCAGAAACATTCAATGAGTAGTTTACAAATTGATCTTATGTACCAGTCTTATGTTTTTATTTAGTGAAGTTGAATCTGTTTACTATTCCAGACCTGCAAAGAAATGGGACAGTGCTGCTATCCAGTACTTTCAGAACATCCTGAGAGGTAAGGCCAGTGCATTGTGTACTCTGGGCTGCTTTGAACTGACACGTGCAGTGACTTACCCTTCTGTCAGCAAGAGGGTTTGAGATGTGCTTGCCAAGCTCTTGGTCTTCCTCAGATGGGTTTCATAAGTTACCTGAAGTCTCTTCCACTCCAGATGTCACCGTGACTGCCCCCCTGGGACTTTGTGGGTGGATGTGGATGTCAGCAATTGACAGCTGAAATTGGAAAGGGTCTCTTGTGTAATAATCATTATTGCTAGTTTAATATATACAAGATGTCTGGCTATTTAGGGTACTTTATTTTATATAAGTGACTATAAAACATAGTCCTTTTCCTATCATTGTTCCTACCCTCTGGTAGTGGCTGATCCTCCCTCTGAGTGGGTGTGAGGTGCCTGGGATGCCTCTGTGTACCTGGTTGGTCCCAGCCTCTCCTGTGCTGTCCTGTTGCCTGGGTAAGGGGAAAACCCAATGCTTTGAACCTAGGAGATGTGAAAAGTTGTGGAATGTCACTAGGTTTGGCATCTGGGCCCTTGCATACCCATTAAGGGGTGATGGGAGATAAGAATATGGTTGAAAGCAGTGGTGGTGAGCCTATGGCACACGTGCCATGGCTGTTTGTTATCATCGAAAGGTTCACTATCACTGGTTTAGAGGAAGCAGACCACCTGGGGTTGAATTTTGCCCATCTCCTTCTGTGTAGCCTTGAACAGTGTACTTAACTTTCTCTGAGCCTGGCCTCTTCACCTGTAAAATGACAGTAGCAGTACTTGCCTCAAAGGGTTGAGTTAAAAATAAATGAAATATGGTATATAAGTGACTTTGCACAGTGCATGATAGATGCCCATAAATGGAGTTGCTGTTTGGGTCTTTAAGTCTCTGATAGTGTAGCCTAGAAGTGTGATCCATAGGGCATTTGGGGGAAGATGGAGCACTCAGGTGAAAGGGTGTGCCTGGAAGTTTGGATTTGAAAAGAGAGAACCCAAAAAGTACTTGAGGTTTTCATAGGGTGACAGGAGGACCCTGGTGATGAGGATAAAAGATAGGCGTCCCACTCCATTGAAGAGTCTTTTGTGTGGATCGGTCATCTCTGCTGCCTTTATTCTGGGAGTTGTCATGCTTGAGGAAGCCATTGACCATTCTGGCACTGGGTACCCTTTAAGTAGTTTTGTTTGCAGAGGCTGGGGAATAATCTTAAATTGCTTTTAAGTATGTGTTTAATATCTATTCATTTGTGCTTTCATGTATGCCTTTTAGCAGCTACTGAGGTGCAAGCCAAATTATGTGCTGTGGAAGATGATACTTTTGAAGTTTACCTTTATGTAACAATAAAAAATGTAAAAGTAAGTGAAAGAATTCTATTTTAAAAAATATTTATAATTACCTTAAATTTTGCTTTAATAAATAATAAACCCTAAAGAAAACAGTATAATTTACACAGCATAGAAATTGTTTTTGTTTTTTGAGATAGTCTCTTTATAGTCTAGGATGGCCTTGAACTTGCTGTGTAGCCCAGGCTAGCTAGCCTCAAACTCTCAGTCCTTTGGCCTCAGCCTCCCAAGCGCTAGAATTTCAGGGGTGTGCCACAATACCTGGTCAGAAATTTTTTAATGTTTCAAGGTCTGACTTAGATCAGAAATTAGCCATGATTCTGTCTTTTTTTTTTGGTACCGGAGATCAAACTTGGCTCTTTGTGCTTGCGAGGCAAGTGGCAGAACCACTGAGCTAAATCTCCAGCCCTCTGTCTTTTTATTACTTAAAAATTACTGGGCTGAGGATTTAGCTCAGTGGTTGCGCCACCTGCCTCACAAGTGCAAGGTCCCAAGTTCGATCCCTGGTGCCCCCCCCCAAAATTACTTTAGCATTTTACCAGGATGGCATCTCATTTAGTAATGAACAAGAAATTCCTGTGGTGATAGGAAATGTTTTCTTGTAAGAGGACATAGTTTATGAATACACTCATTTGCTGTGGTTCACTGCTTTTTGAGATTTTCTATTTGTAATTTGTGGTCATTGTAAAGAATTCAGCTGTCCTCTAAGTGTAGAAAGAAAGAGGGTGTGACATATGAGAGCAGTCTCTCTGTCATTTTGGTCGCTACACCATGCTGGCTGCAATTCCTGAAAGGTGTTGCAAGGTACAACTCTGCAAAGGGCACAGATCTCAGGGTGTGCCCAGAATCCACAAAGGGCACCTTGGGAGGGACTCTCTCCCTCCCTCCTTTTGTTGTGGTGGGGATGGAATGCAGGACCTCACATATGCTAAGCACACACCCTGCCAATGAGCTACACCCCCTATTCCCACCTAGGGATTTAAACATTTTTGTTTTGAAATTTTAGACTCACAGAAGAGATGCAGAAAAAATGTGGAGGTTTCTGTGTGTGCTTTGCCAAGGTTCCCCTAATGTTTTGGGTTTTTTTTCTTGGTACTGGCGATCTAACTCAGGACCTTGTGCTTGTGAGGCAGGAAGCAGCACCACTGAGCTAAATTCCCGGCCCTCCCTAATGTTGATTGTATAGAATCATAGTACAGTAATCAAAACAACAAAGTTGGGCTGGGGATTTAGCTCAGTGGTGCTGCTTCCTGCCTTGCAAGCACAAGGTCCTGAGTTAGATCCCCGGTACCAAAACAACAACAACAACAAAAGGATAGAAGGGAATGGGATTAATATGAGAAAATGGAAAAATAGGAACAAAATCTTTGTAAATAAGGAGGACTGGAGGGGTTGAAGGGAGGGCTGGGCAAGGGTGAAAAATAAGAACCAAGAGAGACCATGTAAAGGTGCAAATTTCCAATGATGAATGTCATTATATTGTATACCTAAAATGTACCAATGATTAGAATGAATAATCGAAAATGTAAAATAGGAAGAAAAGGTCCAAAGGGGTAGGGGTAGTGGGAGGGGCAGGGGAAAGGAAAGAAGGGAAAGGAAAAATGATGAGAAATGGAAAAAATGGAAACAAAGTCTTTGTAAATAGGGAAGGGTGGAGGGCGTGAAGGGAGGGCTAGGAATGGGGAAAAAATAAGAACCAAGATGCATTATATAAAGGTACAGTTCCCAATGAGAAATGTAATTGTGTTGTATACCTACAATGTACCAATAAAAGAATTTAATAAAAACAAAAACCCCCACAAAGTTAACATTGACAAAATACTGTTTTAAAAAATTCTCAGACCTTATATGAATGTTGCCAGTTTCCCTGCTACTTTTCCTTTTTCTAGTCTAAGCTGATCCAGGACTCCATGTTGTTTCTGGCTGTCATGTCTCCTTTGTCTTCTCTAGCCTGGCACTCTTCTCAGTCTTCCCTGACCTTTCATTCCCTGGACACTTCTGAAAGTTCTGGCCGGCTATTGTGTGGGATGCTGCTCGAGTTGCCTGCCCCTGATGTTTGCTCTTGATTTATCAAGGTGGTGCATTTTGAGAATGCCCCAGAAGTGATGATGCCCCCTTTCAGTGCATCCCTGTGGGGCATTCATGCTGGGAATGTGTCTAACCGCTAGATTTAAGTTCGTTCGCTTGGTTAATAGAATGTTGATGGGTCTTTCCTGTTCAGAGGTGCCTTTTTTTTCTTTTGAAATTAATAATAGGGAGATATTTTGAGACTATGCAAATATCCATCAATGGTTCTTGCTTATAAAAGTTAGTACTGGGCCAGGGATTTGGCTCAGTGGTTCTGCCGCCTGCCTTGCAAGTGCAAAGACTGGAGTTCAATCCCCGGCACCAAAAAAAAAAAAAAAAAAAAGTTACTACTGGGGCTGGGCATGGTCCAGAACTCAAGAAGCTGAAGCAGGAGAGTTGCTGTGAGTTTGAGGCCAGCCTGGACTATGTAATGAGTTCAAGGCAAGCCTGAATTACATAGTAAGACCTTATCTCAAACAAACAAAAATGTTAGTACTATGGTGTTGGCCTGTTGGCCTATTTCCATCAATCTTGCTGTGTTTTTAATTGGAATTTTTCTGTAACAAAGACCTGTCCCTCCTCCATTTATTAAGTTATTCACAACTTATATTAGTATGGAGTTGGGTTATTTTATTTGGAGAATATGATCCATTGCTATTATTATTGTCTCAGCCGTGGGCCACTAGGAGTTTCTTCATAGTGGCTCACATGTCCTTTCAAGGTGCCCCATCATTTTTTAATCCTCCCTATTTTCTGGTGCCACAGGATCATTTTGTCATTTTCTAACCCCAGCCCTGGATTCCTCCACTTCTCTAAGAAACTCTGGCTCCTTTTGTAAAGGAGTATAAGATGAGGGCACTGCATGTGCTTGCTGCTATAAAGTATTGTGGAGAGCCTGTCTTCTCAACAGAGTCACACTTTACACCACTTACACCACTGCCATCTGTGCCTGTATCCAGAGCTCTGACTAGCTCCTCCCTCTACCCAGTGTCCATTCTGACCCTCATTTTTCCTTATTTTCAACACCCTTTTCCAATAGTGAGAAATCCCCTCTTGTTACAGTATGTTTATTTGCTCTTAGTATTCACATAATTTCACAATTGCTAGTCCATATTCCTTTTAAAAAAATTGTCTCTAGTCTTACATTATATAGCCAAAATACTGTTCTGAAAATTGCTCAGGTTAGTTTTTCTCTTTCCCGCTCTCTTCATTGTTATTCTTTTGTAGTAAGGTTCATTTGACACTGTTCATATTGCATTTTGGATTCTCTACATCCTGGTTAATTTTAACTGTGATTCTTCACTGCTTATTTTGCATATTGGTAAAAATACTACGGTGTTTGCTGTAGGACCAGTTTTTAAAAACATTTCTTCCAAAATAAAATCTCTACTGATTTGCTTTCCTCTTTTCAAAAATTAGGTTCCTCTTTCTCACCATGTGATGACTTACATTTATTTCATGGTGGTGCAGTGCAGAAGGTAGGGAGGTCCATGCTCATTTGAGTGAGAACTTACTAAATAATGTGTGGGTCATAATTGCCAGAAGATTAGGGCCCCCCAAAGGGAGTACAAAGATATGTCTTAGGGTATTCTCATTTTTGGCCTGGTTCCTTTCAGCAAAATTAGATACATCCATGTTGCTGCGTGTATCAGTGGTTCATTTCTTTTACTGTCAAGAACTTTCCTTTATGTGGATATACTAGAGTGTATTTATCCATTCTCATTGATATATATTTGGTTTGTGGTCAATTTGGGGATATTGCAAATATTCACGTATAAGTTTTCCTGCGGACCTATGTTTTCATTTTTCTTCGGTAAACACCTACAAGCTCAACTTCTGGGTAGTATTGTAGGTACTAAGAAACTGCCATATTGTTTTCCAGAGTGGTTGACTATTTTATATTCTCATCAACAATGTATGAAACTTCCAATTCTTCCACGTCCTCTTTGACTTACTGGTTTTTTAGAGGCTTTTTTTTGAGACAGGATCTCACTATGTAGTCTAGACCAGCCTTCAACTTGCTCTGTAGCCCAGGTCGACCTTGAAGTTGTGGTCTTCCTACCACAGCTTGTTGAGTGCTGAGATTACAGCATTCTGACTCTTGTATGATTATTCCAGTAGGTGTGTAATGGTATTTCTTTGTGCACTAGATTTGCATTTGCCAAATGATAAATGATGCCTTATGCTTATACAATTCATTTATCTTCTGTGAAATATTCATTCAAGTCTTGCCTGTTTTTTTCACCACACTGTTTTCTTTTTACTGACTTCTGAGTGTTCTTTATTCTGGATATAGTCTTTTCAGATACTTGATTTAAAAGTGTCTTGCGGCAGATCTTTGCCTGGTCAGGCTCTGTGAGCTCTCCATGTCATCAGCAAGATGTTTCATTTTTATGTCATACAGGTCCCTGCCGTTTCATCAGTATGAGGGTTGTTGAGAAGTTTTTAGTTCACTGTTACCACAGCAGAAGTCAAGAGATCTATTTCTCTCAGATTATATAAAATAATATTTCTGAAGATTGAAATTCAGGGTTAAGTTTGGAATATTTACAGTCACTTGACCATGCTCATTCATGGAATGTTTTAACATTTTTCAGGTTTGCGTTAATGATGACCTAGTTGCAAAGAACTTTGCCTGTTATGTGTCACCCAGAAAGAATGAACACCTTCATTTAGAGGAAGCAACATTCAATATAAAGTCAGAATCCTTTTCCAGTAAACTCAATCCAGCACTTACTCTTTGGCCAATGCTTTTGCAAAGGAAAGATTTTCAAGGAACAAAAAGTGAGTGGATCCTCACCAATATATATTTCATTTAAAATGTTTTATTTTTAATATTAGTATATTGTTAGAAGGTGGTATATAAACTTTTCCCTATGTGGAGACAGAGACTTGGACTCTGCTTAACAGTTAAAGTTTAATCTTGATGAGTGTGTGACAGGTTTTATGATCCTAAAGCTCCTACAGTTAGTTTTTATGAAACCAGAAAAAAGCTATAGTCAATTTCTCAATATGATTCTTTTTTTTTTTTGGTACCGGGGATCAAACTCAGGACCTTGCACTTGAGAGGCAGGTGCGGTGCCACTGAGCTAAATCCCTAGCCCTATTGTCAATTTCTTATTAACATTGAAGTATATTTTTAGAAGTCTATATGTTTGTAGTTTGAAGCTTTTACCAAAGTAGGATTTTGAATATTCAATTATTTATTTATTTATTTATTTATTTGGTTGGTTGGTTGGTTTTTTGAGACAGGGTCTCACTATTCAATTCAGGTTGGGCTTGAACTCACTATGTAGCCCAGGCTGGCCTAGAACTCCTGGCAGTCCTCCTGCCTCAGCCTCCCAAGCCCTGGGATTACAGGTGTGCACCACCACAGCTGGCTTGGTTTTTATACACTTTTAAAAAGAGCTATTTATCACAAATGATCTCAGCATGAAAGTATGAGAAGAGTTAATCATGGACCGTGGAAGACAATTTTCGTGTTCCTCTCTATTTCCAGAACTTAGTCCCCTCACATACTGCTGCCCTCTTGTTAGGGCTTCTTTAACATTATAGTAAAGCAAGAGCAGAAGAACTATACTAACAGATTGACCTTTTTATTTTGCTTTTTATTTCATGGTTTAATTTTGAAATTTGTTCTTTCAGATTCACATGGGTTAGATTTTCTGGCACAGTCTCTCCAGCACACATGGTGCAAGGGTGTTGCTGGTGACCTTGGGCCAGCTGCTGCAGTACTGGGTGAGTCCTGCTAGTTTGGTTCATGTATTCATTCATTAATTTTGCTGCTGGAGATTGAACCTAGGCCTCATATGCGCTGCCACTGAACCACATCTGCAGCCCCTTAAAAGCCTAAGGATTATAAAGATAACTGTTTAAAAGGGCTATGGTAATTTTCTCTCCCTGGCCTTTTTTTTTTTTTTTTTTTTTGGTACTGGGGATCGAACTCGGGTCCTTGTGCTTGCGCAGCCGGTGGCAAAACCACTGAGCTAAATCCCTGGCTCTTTTTTTCTTAATATAATGGAACTAATTTATGAAAAAAGGCTGACAGTGATCATTAACTCTGCAGTCTACACTTAGAGATTTTATGATGTAAAGAATGTAACAATCTTGTGAGCAGATGTGGTGGTACATGCCTGTAGTCCCAGCTATTTGACAGGCTGAGGCAGGTGGATCGCTTGAGCTTAGAAATTCAGGGCCAGCCTGGGAAATATGGCAAGACCCATTTCAAAAAAGGAAAGAAAAGAAGGAAGGGGAAGATGGGAAAGGAAGATGGGTGAATGACTCGATATGGATTAGGGATAAAAGAGCTCATTATGTTATACACACTAGTAGCATCTAAAATGATTCAGACTCAAATAGAATACATATAATTGTTTTAAAATTTGGAGATAAAAGCCAGGTGTTTGGCATGTGCCTGTAGTTCCAGCATTGTCTTGACTTATAGGACAGATGAGTTCTGACCAAATCCATATTCACTCACTCATTAGTTATTTATGAAACACTGTATACCAGGCACTGTTCTAGGGGCTCATCAGGAAAGGACCGAAGTCTCTGCTTTTGTGGAGTTTCCATCCATCTTTTTAATAAAATTGTTCCCTTTTCTTTTGTGGTTCTGGGGATTGAACCCAGGGCGGTAGGCGAGTGCTTCACCACTGAGCTTTCTGCAACCCTGAAATCAACAGTTTCTCCAGGTTGCCTTGGCTCCCTTTATGGAGAGTGGCATTTTCAAGCCAAGGTTTGAAACAAAGGCATGTTTTTTGTTCCTGGGATGTCATTGTTCCCAGGCACTAACAGTGGACGGAGCTAGGGACTTTGTATGTATGTCTATGTGTGGATGTATGAATATGTACACATACATTTGTGTATCTTATGTCTGTGTACGAAAACTGGGAGCTTGTGTGTGTATGTGTGCACATTTTTATCTTTCTATACATATTTTAAGAACAAAGAATCTGTACTAATATGTACTTCCATTTGTGATTACTGCTGGATTGAGTTTAGTTTTCTGCTTTTCCAGATTTCTAACTCCTTTCTCTGTGAGAATCTCATCTCCTGTTATCTTTAATACAGTCACTTTTTGGGTCAGTCTTCTATATGTCAACACTCTTTCTGGTTTCCTCACTATTTGGTGTTCATCACCCTTCTTGTCCCTTCTGTGCTGACATACTCCTCAGACTAGGAAGATCTAATGCCCCCTACTGGGGGCTCCCACAGGTACTTCCTTCTTTCACTGGAGCTGGGACATCACTCTTTTCACCCTGCCTGGCTCTATTCCCTTAGGGGGTTGTCCCTGCCTCTGAGCCTGTCACATAGAATTGAGTTAGTTAATATATAAAGCCCTTAGAGGAGTTCTTGACATATACTAAGCACTAAGTAAATGCTGGCTTTTATTCTTAATGTTATTATTGCACTACTGGTTTATTTTTCTTCTTCTTGAAGTGTATACTTTAGTAGTTCTTTAGTAAAAGACTCTGAGTGTAGTATGTGTTAAAATACGGTAATAGTTAAGCTGAATGTAGTACTCATGTTCTTAGTTACTGTCCATCAGCATTGAATATAGTACTTAATATTCCATTAAATGTTAGTCTTTCTTTGTAAGTAATTGGTATATTCTCTTGATGACTTTTTGAATTTTTCTTTTTCCTTGATATCCTGCAGTTTTTTACAATGTATCTTGATGTGGATGGTGCAAAATGTATTCTGTTGACATTTAGTGTTTTTCAGTTACAAAATTCATGTATGATTTGTTTCTCAAAAGTATATGTTAACATTTTATAAGATTTTTTCCTTCATCTTTTCCTCTTGTATCTGAATCTTTTAGTCAGATTCATGTCTTCCAGTTCTCTTAGCCTTTTTTTTTTTAACGTTTTCTTTTTTTTATATTTCCTTTTTTTTTTTTGGTTCTAGGGATTGAACTCAGGACCTTGTGCTTGTGAGGCAGGAGGTGGAACCACTGAACTAAATCCCTGGCCCCTTTTTTAACTTTTTCTATTTTATCTCTCTGAATCGATTTCTGAGAGGTTTTCTTTTTGTTTGTTTGTTTGTTTTTGAGATGGGGTCTTGCTATGTTGCCCAGGCTGGACTCAAACTCTTGGACTCAAGGGATTCTCCCATCTCAGCCTGCTGTGTAGCTGGGACTACAGATGCATACCACACAGCCTAGCAACCTGAGATGTTTTCTTAATTTTTCAATTTACCATTTTTCTCTTTGCTTCTATTAGTGTTTATCTTTTGAGTTTTTAACTTGATGGCTATTTAATATTACTTAGAGTTCTCATTGGTTCTCTTTTATTTTAAGACACAGGTTCATGATGCATTTCAGGGTGGTCTCAATCTCATGGCAGTCCTCCTCCTCAGCCTCCCAAGTGCTGGGATTACAGGCATTTGCCGCCATGCCTGGCTCTAGTTGGTTCTTTTTTATATTTGCCTATCTTTATACATCCACTTGTTTTGGTTCATTATTACTGTTCTTTTTTTTTTTTTGGTACTGGGGGTCAAAGTTGGGTTATTGTACTTGCGAGGCAGGCAGCAGAACCACTGAGCTAAATCCCTGGCCCTCTTTTTTTTTTATTAATACATATTTGCCATACATAATGATCACATTTATCATAGAGAATTTTTACCTGTAAGTACTATTCTTCATCTTTTGGATATTTAATTTTTAAATTTTTATTAGTATGTTTGTAGTACGTACTGTTAACATTCCTTGGTTTGTTTGTTTGGTACCGGGAATTGAACTTGGGACTTGGTGCTTGTGAGGCAGGCAGCAGAACTACTGAGCTAAATCCCCGGCCCTGTTTGTTTGTTTTTTGAGGCAGGGTCTCTGTGTTGTTCAGGCTGACCTTAAAATCACTATGTAGCCCAGGCTAGCCTCAGACTCATGGTGATCTTCCTGCCTCAGCCTCCCAGGTGCTGGGATTGCAGGTGTACGGCACCGCGCCCAGCTTTCAGGCTACTTTTTAGTGTCCCCCCCCCTTTATCATTTATAATGGCACTGAAATACTTTGTGATTTTTATTTAAGAGCTTGTCTTTGTAAAATTTTTAATAGTACATGTTTACAGTACATAATGATTACATTCATTGTGGGGAGTTAGTATATGTACATAACAGAAGAGCTTGTCTTGTGTGGACATTTTCTCTTGGTGAAAACTACCACCTCCATTTCTAGCTCCAGATCAAAGATTTTGTATGCTTGGCTGAAAAGTTGCCTGAAGAGATAATATAATTCTAGGCCCCAAGACTGCATAACATGCAGTACTTTAAGGAGGGATTAGGTGAGTTTATGTGTCACATATTTCTGGTATTAGCTATTACTTTAGTGCTTTGTATTGTTTTAATGGGTGAAAGTTGTAACTCACTTCAATATGTATTTCTCTTACTAATAGTTAAAATGAACACTTCTAGAGTTGTCTCAGTAGTTCTCTATTAAATAATCACTGAGTTGGGTTTCCTTTTCTTTTTCTTGAAGTCATGCCTCAATTTTTACCCAAATGTTTAAATTACCCAGCTTGATTATCTGTATTATTCAGTAGACAACTTTTGTCACTTTTCAGGCCTAGAGAATTAATATACTTGAAAGAGTCTGGTGTAGAATGTTTTTAAATTTCTTTTTTGTTTGATTTTTAAAATTTCCTTTTCTTTTTGCTTTGGAATTTTGATACCTCCGGGGTTGTTTAAATTCAGCCCGTATTTTAATACCTTCTGTATGTATTGTTCAATTAAGAAATGAGATGCACAACAGTGACCCTAAACCACAGCTAACACTGAGTTCTGATTGGTACTTGGTTACTATTACCAGATGACACATCTCCCAAAACTTGTAATGTGAAACAGTAACTTCTGTAACACTAGTGGATTCAGAATGGGCACAGGAGGAGTGTGTGTTCCTATCCCAGGAGGTGGGACCTCAGCTGGGAAGACATAAAGGCTGGTGTAACTAGCCAGTTGGATTCATCTGAAGACATCTGCAGTCACATTTCTGGCAGTTGATGCTTGCTTTTGTGTGGGACCTTGGTTGAGGCTGTCACCCAGAATCCCACCATGGCCTTTCCATATGGTTGCTTGGGCTTCCTCACAGCATGGCAGCTGGGCTTCAGAGGTGCATATCCTAGAGAGCAAGTCACCAATATGTGTGTTCGTGTAATGTAGCTTTAGAGTTGCATCACGTCACCCCCACCATGTCTACAATCCCACCTAGGTTCATGGGGAAGAAATACAGATTGCATCTCAGTGGGAGTCAGAGTCCCATTGTAAGAAGAACATGTGTGTGGGAGACACAGTTGTGGCCTTTGGAAAATACAGACTGCCAAGTTGGGAAAATAAATTAGGTTTTATTCTTGGTAAGCTGGTATGGGAATTTTTATTTATTTTATTTATTTTTTTGGTACTGGAGATCGAACTCAGGTCTTTGCGCTTGTGAGACCGGCGGCGGAACTACTGAGCTAAATCCCTGGCCCTGGTATGGGAATTTTTAGAACTTTAACAAAAGGTTGAAACAAGATTTTTAAATTTAATCTCCTTGAGTAAAGTTTAAGGCACAATCCTATTCCACAATAATTTCATGTATTAAGATTATATAGTGGTATTTGTTTGTATCACATTCTTTTTTTGTCCTGTTTCCTATCAACATTTTTTAAGGTAGTTTTTTATTATTTTATCTTGCAGTTAAAGGTGTAAAATGGAATATGGGTTCATTGAGAGACTCACCTAATAAAAAATCTGAACAGCAGCAGCAGTGTGTCTCTTTAAAAGATATAAATAAGGTTGTATCTTTTAAGTGTTCTTTAAATATAAAGTTCATATAATGTTAACATTCTTCTATTATGAACCAAAGTTATTTCAATTAAAAATATTTGGCTATGGTGGTTTTATTTGTGAAAAAATATACTTTACATGTTTGTTTATTTTGAAAGAACAAGGTGATTGCAGCCCCTCTCTTGTCAAGCTCTCATTTTTGCTGAGTAATGGGCTTGCTATAAAATCAGGAATTTATCATTTTAATAAGGATGTGAAAATCTGGGATTTGGAGGCGCACTAATAGTTAATTTCAGTTTTAAATTCCCTTCCAGTTATTTGCACAAGACAGGTGAAAGTAATTGTAGGACATGTTAAACAGTAGTTATCTGAAATGCCAGCTGCCTGTTATTTGGACATTTCAATTTAGTGATTATACTCACAGCATAATCATCCAACTTGCCAGCTCTTTGTCTCTTATGTGTGTGTATATGAAAATTTCCTGGAATGGTTTATGACAATTTCCATAGAATTTTGATTCCAAAAGAATATATAACTTGTTGAACATACATATTCTTTCTGAATATTTTTTGTAGTGTGTTGAATCTTCAACTTACTGGCCAACAAAAAGAGGCATAACCATATATGCTGATCCAGATGTACCGGCAGCAAGGTATGATTTGAAAATTCAGTGGAATCCACTGGAGCCTCAGGTGTAATACATGGCCTTATGTAAGATGTCATCCCCCGCTATCTTTGAGGGATTGGTCCCATGACCTGGAGAATACCCAAATCAGCATAGCAGCTCAAGTCTTGTACATAGAATGGTATAGTACCTATGCACATCCATCCATGTACTTTAAAAATCATCTCCAGGCTACTTATAAATAATGCTACATAAATGTTATTGCTTAGAGAATAATGACAAGAAAAAAGGCCTATACATATTTTTCTCATATGTTTTCAATTGGAAGTTGGTTGAATACACAGGTACAGAGCCCACAGATGTGAAGGGTCAATTGTACACGATTCTATGTTCTAAAAAGTGAATGGTGGGAAAGTATTCCATTTCAAATAAGAGTGACCCAGGACATTTGATTGAGTACATATTAATTTAAAGGAAAAAATCTTGTGACAGCTGGTTAGCAACACAGTGGACTGAAAACTGGCAGTGGCTCTCCTTGTTACCTTGGTGGGAAAAATTGGTTTTGGAAGGCTGGCAAAAGTGGGTGTGACATGAAGGATGGGTAAATGGACCAGTGGCAGTGCAGCCTTGTGCGTTACTTGAATTCAGCAGCTGATTGTGCTGTTAGGAGGTGAGGTGTGGCTGGAAGAGGCAGGTCTCTCCCCTATTCCTCTCTGCTCTCTCTGCTTCCTGATTGACATGACTTGAGGAGCTTTCCTCTGCTAGACCCTTCTACCATGTCTTCCTGCCCTAGGGCCAGCCAACTATAGATTGACTCTACATAAATCTGTGGGTAAAAATCGACCTCTCAGGTCAGGGATTTAGCTCAGTGGTTCCACTGCCTGCCTTGAAAGTGCAAGATCCCGAGTTCAATCCCCGGTACCAAAAAAAAAAAAAAAATCAACCTCTTCTCCTTTAAGTTGTGGGTGTGTCCGGTATTGTGTCTCAGCAACGACAAAGTGACTACGGTACCAGTTAATGGAAACCAAAGAATGGTTTGTTATTGTCTTCAGAAACTCAACTATACACTGTTCTCATGGAGATGTACATCGGTGACATTAATAAAATCACATGAAAGATGTCATGTACTCTTCATGTAGAGGTTAAGAGCTTAAAATGGGATACTTCTATTTCCCCACTTCTGGACTTTATGCTATGGTTATTATATGTTGTATTTATGCATATGTTAAAAATGTTTAAACTCTATTATCACTTTTATTTAAATAATTTACTTTTAGATTGAAATAACAAGAAAAGCACCATATATTTACCTCCGTAGTTATACTGATGGTCTTCACTTTTTGTGTAGGTCCACATTCCCATTGGATACCACTTTCCTTCTACCTGAAGGGCTTATTTTAACACTTATGTTGGAGATCTACTGTTGATGAGCTCTTTCACTTTTTGTAGTCTGAAAAATTGCTCATTTTAGCTTTATTTTTGAAAGTTTTTTTATCTATAGAATTAGTACTTTGCTCTATATAAAGATATTGCTGCACTATCTTCTTGCATTTTTCTTGGTGGGAAATCTGTTAATCTTTTTCTTTGTCCCTTGGTAAGCAGTGTGTCTTTCCTTTGACTGCTTTTAAGATTCTCTTTATTACTGATTTGAGCAATTTAATTATATGTCCTAGTGTAGTTTTTATATTTTTCTGCTTGGGTTATAGTAAGGTTCTTTGTAGTGTTCTGTCTTTCATCAAATTTAGGAAGTGCCTTTGTTCATTTTGTGTAGCTGTCACAAAACACCCCAGACCAGGTAATTTATAAAGAACAGAAATGTATTTTGCACAGTTCTGGAGGCTGGGAGTGCGATGTCGAGGCATCAGAAGTGTTGGTGCGTGGTGAGGGCCTGGTCTTGCCTTACAGGATGGCACCTTGAACACTGCGTCTTCCAGAAAGGAGGACCACTGTTCCCCACATGACACAAGAGCAAGAGTGAAATAAACCTACTGCCACAAGCCATTTGTTGATTTTTCAGTATTAGGGATTGAACCCAGGGCCTTCACACTGAGCTACATCCTCACTCCTTTTTTATAGTTTTTATTTTGAGACAGGTTCTCACCAAGGCACTAAATTGCCCACACTGGGCCCAGATTTTTGATCCTCCGGTCTCAGCCTTCTAGAACATTGGGGTTATAAGTGTGCACCACCATACCCACCTCCACAAGCCCCTTTTTTGGTGGCATTAATTCACTTATGAGGGCTAGCTAAAACACCCTCAGGAGGCCACCTCTACATGCCACTTAAGTTGCAGCGGGAAATATGGGGAAGACAGAACATTCAAACCATAGCACAGTTTTTAATTGTTATTTCTATAAATACTTTTTCTGTTGCAGTCTCTTTCCTTTTGAGACACCAGTAGAAATTTTCAGACATTTTTGTATTTTTAAAGGTCCCTGAGGCTTTCATTTTCAACTTTTTTTCTTATTAATAATTATACTGATCTGCTTCTTCTGTCATCTCCATTGTTACTGACCTCATCCAGTGATTTTATTTTTTTCATTTCTAAAACTTTCTTCTGTTTTTTTATAGATTATATTTCTTTGCTGAGAACTTTTATTTTTCCATTCAAGAGTGTTAAACTTGGCCAGTTGTGATGGCACACACCTACAATCCCAGCCCTCGGGAGGCTGAGGTAGGATTGCCCCAAGTTTGAGACCAGCCTGGACTGCATAGTGAGACCCTGTCTCAAAAAGAACAAACACAATAGTGCCAAACTTTTCTTACAGAGCAAGGTTATATTGGCTCCATTGAAGTGTTTGATAGGTCCCACTTATGAACACTCTTAGGGTTCCTTTTACAATATCTGATTTTCCTGTTTTTTGTCTGTTGGGTAAAATTGGATTGTGTTCAGGATATTTTGAGTAATATGTTGTGAGACTCTGATTTCTGTTAAAACCCTCTGGATAAGGTTGGAGGCAGAAACTTGGTAAGGTTCAGACCTCAGGGTCTGCCTCAGTCTGTGTAGATGGTGGCAGTATCAGCCCAGTGTTTCGGACTGTTTTCCCTGAGGCTCATACTGGGGTCACAGCAGCAGGGTGTCCCCATCCAGGGTCCCTGTGTTTCTGGGATACCCTCACCAGTTTCAGGTGTTCCTTGTTCCTGCTTCTCTGGCCTTTGTGCAGTCTGGGCTGGGCATAGGCAAAACAATAAGAGGAGTAAGAGAACAAGGGCAATGGAGATTTTCTTTGCACACTGGACACAGGCCCCTCATTTCCCAGTTCCTCTGACTGCAGGGACAGGTTTTATTTTGGGATTTTAGGTGACTGAGATGCCCCTCTTAAGATTAGAGCTGGCCTTGGGGCAGGGCTAGGGAAACAGAAGAAGAAAAGAAAAACAGGGCTAAACCTTAGTCCTTACAGAAATTCATTTAGCTAGACCAAATGATTCCTCATTGCCACAGCTTAATTTTCCCCCTAGAAAATAAAGATGTTTTCAGTATTAAGATAAATGGGTTTACAAACTTAAATACAATTTTTGATTTTTAAAATTTCTAGTGCTTCAAGTCAGAAGCCAAATGAGAAACCACTAAGATTAGCTGAGAAGAAAGAGTGTGATGAGAAGAATAGCTGTGTAAAGTAAGAATTTCTTCTTAACCTTGTTTATTGAAATAATTGTAATAAAATTATAAGCAGGAGAGATTTACATTATCTTATTTTGTGTGTGTGTGTGGTCCTGGGGATTGAACCCATGGTCTTTGCATTGAGCTCTGTCTCTAGGCCCTTTTATTTTGGGATAGTCTTGCTAAGTTACCCAGTTGGGGCTCAAATTTATGATCCTCGTGCCTTAACCTCCCAGATTGCTGGGATTAGAGGTATGCATGTGCAATGGCACCTGACTTACATAATTTATTATTAACTTCCAACTTGTATTCCCATCAAAAAAAAATGTATGTCCGTTAAAGTCTCCTGTAGGCTTTGAGGGTGGTTTCTTCTTTTCTGTTCACTATGGTAAATTTTACTGTTGAAAGCTTTTATCTGGTGTGAGTAGTCATCCCCTACCCCATTCTTTTGGTGAAGTGAACAATTTTATGAAGTGAATTAGGTATAGTTAGTTGTTTTGAACTGTAGATTTTTTTGTGGATTGGTGTTTGGTTTCTTCCTACTTTTCTGATGTTAAATGGGCCTACCTCTTGCTTTATTAGCCGCAGAGTAATAACTTCATATTTTTAACCCACAAATTATTTTCATGATTTTTTTATATCATACTAGTCTTCAGCAGCTTAAAGAATGTTACATTCCAAGTAAGTATGGCTACTCTGAGTGACCAGAGTGACACAGAGTCCAAGACAGCTCAGAGGTGAGTGGGTGGTGATACACCCACCCATTGTCCTGGGGTTGGAGGATGTTGGCTGCACAGCCATACAGACACCCACCTTCTGCACACTGATGCTCATCATGAGCCCAGGCCTTTCCGGAGAGCTCACAGTGCAAGGTGGGGGGATGGCTGTTCATGCACCTGGTGTGATATCTATCTCCCAGAGCAACCTGATACCTTACGGTTTTTCTGCTCTAACTGGTTCTTTTCCTTGGAATAAAAGACCTTTCATTATCTATGCTGCTCATTTGGTTCTTAAAATTATAACCTGGAAAAAAATTATAACCTGGTAACTTACCCCTAATGTATTATATTCCCTTTTATTTCTGTATTAGAAAGCTCTATTTTACCTTCTGTTCTATTGAAAGCCCTTGATGTGGAACCCATTGAGGGAAGTACATGAGTTATTCCATTCATCTTCTGTGGGTTGAGGAAACCTTGAAGTAGTTCAAGATTAAACAGCAAAGGGCAAAGAAGGCAGTGTATTTCTTAGAAACCCAAGGGCAACTTGGTGACAGTGCGATCTGTCTCTGTGGCCAGCCTGTGGTCCTATTACCAGCCACACTGTGTCTGTAGCCTGAGAACCCTAATTTATTTTTTTGAGATAAGGTCTCCCTATTTAGTCCAAGCTGGCCTTGAACTTGCTGTGATCCTCCTGCCTCAGCCTCCCAAGTTCTGGGATCACAGGTGTGCGCCACCACACCCGGCCCAGCCTGGGAAACCAAGTGTCTGTCATTTCTGGTCAGTAGTGAAGGCAGCCTGGAGAAGAGACATCTTTTCTTCAGAGATGGCCAGCTAGGGATTTGCAGGTATCACATAATGAGATGCAAGCAAAACACATGGTAGATGTTCAGGTTTTAAAAATAGTATTACAGTAAAAGACACATTGGCATTAATCCCCCTCACAGTACTTCCTTGCTCTGAACACATTTTCCCCGTCATTCTTGCCACTTTCTGAAGCAGTTCTGCAAGTCCTTTTCCATGAGTGTCCTTAGTTACTGTTGTGGCCGCCTTAGTGTCCTGAATTAATTCAAAGACATTTGCCTTTCATGGTCATTTTGTCTTTGGGGGAGGATCAGAAGTTGGACAGTGCCATAGCAGGTGAATAAGGTAGCAAAGATACCATAATATTTTTACAAGACGCTTTTTTGTTGGATGGCACTTGGTAGCGGCATTCACTGTATTTTTTTTTTCTTTTTTTCTATTTTTTGGTACCGAGGATTGAAATCGGGTCCTTGTGCTTGCACAGCAGGTGGCAAAACCACTGAGCTAAATCCCTGGCAATTCACTGTATTTTTTTATCAAAACTCATAGAGACACTTAAGAAAAAGGACTTTTAGAACTGCTTCAGAAAGTGGCAGTAATGATGGGTAAGTGTCTTTGAAGCAAGGGGGAGTATTTTTGAGATATTCATAGAAATGTCTTTTACTGTAGCAATTTTAGAAAATTTAACATTCACCATACATTTTGATCACCCCTGTAGCTTGGTATGTGATAACAGTGACATTAATCACAATAGGGAGGGCCACACACAGTGACTTCTGCATTTCATCAGGACTCCTGCCTTGCCTTTGAAGGGCCACCCTAAAGACCAGGCATGCCCTAGCCTCCTCTGAAGCCTGCAGTTTTTTGTCCTGTCTGCTTGTCATACAAGTGGCATCGCTTAGCCTGTAAGAACCTGCAGCCAGTTCTGTTTCTTTCTTGTCCTTCACTAATTTATATCCTTCACTGAACTCATTTGCAAAACCTCAGATTATAGTACATTCAGGAAAAGATCGCGCCATATTTGGTAGTCTTTCCCATTCTATGATTCCATACTACTTTCTCCTTTGGAATCCTGGAATTTGGATTGGCAAGAGAGTGTCAGGTTCTACATTCAGAGTTTAGGAGCCTGCATAGCAGATTTCTTTTTAGGGATTTCTAGGTGTCCAAGAGATAGTGCTCTGTTCCTCTGAGATGTACTGGAGATGACTGGACAGCTTAGATTGAAACTTAATTCTAATCTGTGGCAGCTTTATCAGTGGCCCTCCAGTATATGCTGGGAATGGCAGAGGAGTTCCATTTCATTTGGTGGTTGGTGGCTCCCTGCAGCATTATTTTGAAGAGGATTTTGTGCTGGGGAAGGATACTTTTCTGATTAAGGTGTCTGATCTGGATATAGGAACATGCAGTGGCTTCCCTACTTGCCACCCTTTTGTTGTCTGTTATGGTTTATATTTAGATGTTTCCCAAGAGCCTCATGTACTTATAGGTAGGGCTTTTGGAAGGTGATTGAATTATGGGGGCTTATAGCTGACTTGTTGTTAGGAGGTGGGGTCTGGTTGAAAAAGTTGAGTCACTGGGGACATGACCTGGAGGGTACATCTCCTCCCTTCACTCTCTGTTTTCTGGCCACCTTAAGGTGAGCAGCTTTCCTCTGCCCAGGTCCTTCCACCATGCTGTAAACCATGCAAGGGCTGAAACTTCTGAAACGAGCCAAAATAAACCTTTCCTTTTAGTTTCAAGTATCAGGTATTTTGTCACAGTGAGAAGGAAAATGACTAAGACATCATCTTTGATGTTTAATGTAATCTTGTACCTTTCTTTGCAGTTCTTTGCCTTTGTGTATCCCAATACCTACTATAATACGTGTTTGTTTCTCTTCACTTGCCTTTCTGTAAACATTTTAACATTTCTCTACTCTGTACCATCCACTTATTTAAGTTGGAAAGTTCTTATAAATACACATATTTTTTACAATGCTACTTCAGTGTCAAGAGTTAGAACACCAGTACCTCACTAACACCCATCCTGAATGCTGTGTACATGGGCTGTTGGGTTCCAGTGGTTGGCAGCTGTCCTTCCTGGCCAAAACTCTCCATAGAGTGACTGTTGACAGACTCAGCTCTGTTCACCCTCCTCCTCTCTGCTCTGAAGTCACATCACACATGGTTCCTCCCATGACCCCACTGTCCCTGTGTCAGATTCTAGTGAGCTGCACGGTCAGTGTCAGCAGGCTGATCCACACAGGAATGCAGTGGCTGCTTCTCTGTTTTGGCACAGCTACTTGGCTTTCCTGAAGTCAATACATTATTGTCTGCTATTTTTGTTTCTTTGTTTTTTGGTATGGGGGATCGAACTCGGGTCATTGTGCTTACAAGGCAGGTGGCAGAACCACTGAGCTAAATCTACGGCTCGTCTGCTATTTTTTATGTATTTTCATTAATTCATCTCCAGAACTTCCTTATGTTATCTAAACTTACTGTCAGTATTTTCTCTTGTGTCTCTGGAAACCCTCCCTGGAGCCCTCCCACCTGCTGTGACCTGTGGTGAGGTGTCCTGTGTCCCTTGTCACCAACATCCTCCAATTTCCTGCATTTTTCCTGAATTGAGGCCCTTTTTTTCTGGATCTTCATCTTCTCCATACTTAGTTCGCTCCTTGTTATGGAGGAGAACATCCTCCACTAGCTTCTTGAGAAGGGAAACACAAATGAAAAATTTTTGAGACAGCAAAAATGCTTATAGATTATCTTTACTTGATTCACATTTTCAGTATCAATTTTTGAAGGAAATTCTTCATTCTAGTGGCCAGTGTTAAGTCAACTCCTTTTTCATTCCTTATTTATTTATTTTTTTTAGTCCAAAGAATTTATTAAGGTAACTTACAGAGAGAGGGCTGGATTGTATTGTCATGGACAGCAAAACAGAAGTTACTGTCTCTATTTTTTTTTTTTTTTTTTTTTCAGAAGACGGCATACGAGATCCTGGTAGGTGACTGGAGTTCAGACGTGTGCTCTTCCGATCAAACTTTGATTGATTTTTTTTTTTTTTTTTTGCAGTACTGGGGATGGAACTCAGGACCTTGTGCTTGCCAGGCTGGCACAGTGCCGCTGAGCTACATCCCTGGCCCAAGACAGAAGTTACTGTACTGGAGTGTGTCTGTATTAAAGGGTTTATGGAGTTTATGTAAGATTTAAGGAGCAAGCTTTGTGAATGAGTTGTGCCATGGAGTTCCCCATAGTGATAGATGTGTCCTCAGCCTGTATCCCCTTCCAAAACCAGCCCATCCTCCCAGCTGCTCAGAGAGTGAGGGCCAGTGTCCACCCACTTTTAACAGCTGTGAGCTGGATCCCTTAGACGCTGTCACAATGCCACTCTCTCGTTCCAGCCTCCCAAAAATGAGAAATGATAGGGTCCCTATAGAGACGAATCAGAATTTAAAATTGGAAGGTCTGGCTGTCAAAGACCTGATTTTTTTTTCACTTCTTTATTTTTAAAAATCATGTTTGTGATACATAGCTAATACATTCATTATAGGGAGCTGATACATACACACAGTACAGCTTAGTCCTTTTTATCTCTCCTTCCTCTCCTTTTTCCCCTCTATCTCCATCCATAGTACACCTTCTCATCTGCCAAAGGTCTACCTCCCTCTTTGCAATTGCATGTATTTTATTTTGTTCTTTAAATTACTTGTATTTTAGGTTTCTCATAAAAGAGAAACCATGTGGTACTGATTTATTTCACTTAGCATTATGATCTCAGGGTGCATCCATTTTCCTACAAATGACTCAAATTTATGCTTTTTATGGCGGACTAATGCTCCATTGTGTATATACATCACATTTTCTTTATCCATTCATCTGTTGATGGACATATGGGCCATTCCCTTCCAAGACATAGCTATTGTGAGTTGTGCTGCTATAAACATGGATATGCATGTATCCCTGTAGTATGACATCTTTAATTCCTTTGGTAGGATACCGAGAGGAGGCATAGCTGGGTCAAATGGAATCTCAATTTTTAGGGGTTTTTTTGGTACCGGGATCGAACTGGGATCCTTGTGCTTGCACAGCAGGCGGCATAACCACAGAGCTAAATCCCTGGCCTATTTTTAGTCTTTTTAAGGAATCGTCAAAGTGATTTCCATAGTGGTTGTACTAATTTACATTCCCACCAACAGTGTAGAAGGGTTCCTTTTTCTTCATAACCTTGCCAACTTCTTGTGTTTTGAGTTCATGACTGTAGTGTTCTTTTTACAGCAAAATGGAATCTGTGTTGTTTTGATTTGCATTTCTCTGATGGCCAAAGAGGCTGAATATTTTTTCATGTACTTATTGGCCATTTGTAGTTCTTCTGAGAAGTCTCTTCATTTTCGTTGCCCATTTTTGATTGGGTTTTTATTTTGTGGGGGGGGGTCTTCCTTTGTGGTACTAGGGATTAAGCCCACGGCCCTCACCTTGAGCTGCATCCCCAACTTTTTTTGTGTGTGTGAGACAGTGTCTTGCTAAGTTGCTCAGGCTTGCCTCAAACTTGTGATCCTCCTGCCTCAGTCTTGTGAATAGCTGGTATTATATGCATGTGCCACCATGCCTGGCTCCAACCCTCTGCCTTTTCGCTTTATTTATTTTTAAATAGTGTCCTATTCTTGTTTCATATAGGTGATGTTTTTTCTCAATTCTCCAAAGATGAGGTGCTGATAATTTGGAGGAAAGCTTTCTTGTGTTTCCATTTCTTACAAGTTGAATCACTCTGTTTTTATTTGTGGTGTCTGGGAGGCTAGCAGGTTTAAGGTGCTACGTGCTTCTTGACTGACTGTTCACCTGTAACACAGGGACCTAATGTACCAATTAGAGACTGAGTCTGCAGTGGCGCCTTGACCACGAGTCTCTCTGTGGAAGGAGTTGCTGTTAATGGTGGAACTTTTGAACTCAGTCCCTGGTCTTTCACCTCAAGTGGATCAGATTCCCCAGCGAGGCTTCTGCTGTCTCTTACTCCTGAGTGAAGACCTCCTTCGCAGGTGTCCTGGGTTCACAGTAGCAGAAGCCAGCTGCAGTCTCAGTATTCACAGTGAACTTGTGGGCTTAACACCCCGCATTCAGTGTGGTTTCTCTGTCAGAGCTGTGCCTCTAGCACCCCAGTCCTGAGAGCCCAGCTTTATCCTCTCCAGAGACTCGCCCTCTAGTCTTCTCTAGGATGGGGGTTGGTAGTAGCTGTCTGTACTGAGACACATCAGGGGATCTAGGGGGTGCCCCCTTTATTTTAATCCCCTGCTCCATTGCCACAAGTGGAAAAGCTTGGTCTTCATTTCTACACTTCCTTTTTTTTGGTACCAGGGATTGAACTCAGGTCCTTGCGCTTGCAAGGCAGGCGGTGGAACCATTGAGCTAAATCCCTGGGCTGTTTCTATGCTTTCTGAAGATTGCTCTGTGCAAGCCAGGCTGGGCCTTGCCTGGCTGCCTCAGACTCGGCTCTTGCGGGTCTGCTGAGTCACTTACCATTGGTCCATGTGCTTTCTAACTTCTAAAATTTAGTTACAAATATCGTGTCCTCTGTAGTTCTTTCCTTCCTTGTGGCTTTAGAAAATAATTTATTGAGATATGGTTCATCTTCCATAAAATTTACCCCTTTAAAAATGTACAGTTCAGTGGGTTGTTTAGAATGTTCTCAGACATGTGCAACTGATCACTGCTGTCTAAGTTCAGAACATTTTTATCACCCCCCACCTTGAAAAGCCTATGTGCATTAGGAATCTCTCACCATTTCCCACTTTTCCCATTTTCTGGTAACCACTAGTTTACTTTCCATTTTTAAGGATTTTCCTATTCTTGAAATTATATATAGATAGAACCATACAGTATGTGGTTCTTTGTGACTGGCTTCTTTCACTTAGCAAAATTTCAAAATTCACCTCTGTTGTGCACAAATTCCTTTTTATGGCTAATATCCCATTGTATAGATACAGCACATTTTATTCATTCTTTGGTGGATAAACATTTGGGTCTTGCTGTTTTAGTATTAAAGATTTTATTTACAGGAATGAGATTTCAGAAAACAGTGCAATTTGACTTGTGTATTTAATCCACCATTTTTCTCCCCAAGTGCTGCACTGAAAATGGTTTACGAGTTCTCTGCTGCTCTCGGCAGACCTTACTCATACTGGCATTGGGTTTGAGTTAGCAGAAGCGGTAGGGTACAAGTCCATCTAGTCTTCTGAGATTTCTTTATTTTGAGGGTGTTGTGTTTTCAATGCTGAAGGTCAAACCCTGAGCCTTGCACATGTGCTCTACCACTAAGCTATAGTTCCAGCCCTTTCTTCAAATGTTATTTTGAGCCTGGGTCTTGCTAAGTTGTCTGTAATTTGAACTTGGTCCTTTTGCAGCCTCCTGAGTAGCTGGTATTACAGATGTATCATATACAGCTGAGTCTTGTTTTATAATCTGTAAAATAAAGCCAGTGAAGAAGACCAAGCTCAGAGCTCCCTAAGCTTGGCTGGGCCTCCTTTCAGGTATTCTGCAGGATATGGGAAGTAGCATTGTGCACCACAGACATAGACCTAGGCTTGTGAAACACAAAATTGGTCTGACCAAAATGACCTTCTTTTCTTAATGAACCAAGAAAAGCAACGCAGTCCTTTGATGGCTGTACATTAGGGCATATAGTCCATTAGACCTGTGTCAAGAGGAAGAATTGAATTAATAGCTCAATTGATGGTACATACTTTTCAAATTGTTCTTAACAATTTTACAGATTACTGCAGTTTTTAAACCCTGATCCTTTGAGAGCTGATGGAATCTCTGATCTGCAGCAGGTATTACAAGCCCTACAAAAAGTTAAATAGAACAGAAAACTCTCTTCTTAAAAATCCTTCTTCCTCTAGTTTTGAGATTAGAAGGGAACTCCTTAGGTGGGGAACTTTGCCTAAAGACATCCTTTAAAAATTATCTGGTGAGGGCCGGGGATTTAGCTCAGTGGTTCCACCGCCTGCTGCACAAGCGCAAAGACCTGAGTTCGATCCCTGGTACCAAACAAAAAACCAAAACAAAAATTATCTGGTGAATGGGCCAGGGATTTAGCTCAGTGGTTCTGCCACCTGCCTTGCAACTGCAAGGCCCCGAGTTCGATCCCTAGTGCCCCCCCCAAAAAATTATCTGAGAAATATTTTTTATTTGATTAGATGATCTCTTAATTTTGGTAGTTTTGGGGGTTTTTCAGAAAGCATATATATTTAGGTTTTCACATGGTTTTCTTCTGTGTAAAGTTCTTGGTACTCTATACTAATGGCTCAGGGGAAATACTGGTTGTATAATGCCTGTATCGCTTAGTTGCAGAAGCTGAAGTCAGGCACGCAGCAGCCTGTCATGGTCCTCCGGCACAAGATCGAGCCTTGCCTGACCATTGACAGTTCACCACTGTCTGCAGATTTGAAAAAGGTGAACATGCTCTTAAAACCAAACTCGTGAAGAAATACTGAGCTTTTCTAACACAGAAGGATTTCTGTATGTGTGTGTGTGCACGCGTGTGTGTACACGTGGTGCTAGAGACTGAACCCAGGGCCTTGTGCATACTAGGCAAGTGTTCTACCTCTGAGCAAGGCCTTCAGCCCATAGATTTTTTTTTTTTTGTACCAGGGGTTGAACTTGGGACCTTGCACTTGCGAGGCAGGAGGCAGAACCACTGAGCTAAATCCCCAGCCCAAGATTTTTTTAATAAGTCATTCTAAGGTTGTTTGTATAGCTTCTTTGCTTTTGAAATTCTCCTAAGACTTTGTTACTACTTATTCTTAAGTACAGGTTAACATCTTATAAATACATAATTCTTTTGTGGAGAGGCCGTTGTAGAATTCTAAATCCTCTTCTGAAATAAATTTTCAAATGTGCCTTTGAAAAGGGGGCTTAGAAGAAGCAACAAGTTTCAAGGAACTGTAAGGTAATTCTTAGCCACTCTTTCCAAAATTGCTTCATAGATCTGTGGTTTTACTTGGTAAATTGATTGTACAGGCTTACCTGTACACTCCTTCCTGATTAGAAAAGGGTTAAAACTTTTAAAGATCGAAAAATAAAAACCACAAGAATGAACAAAATAAGTCTTCAAGGGCAAAAGATTTCTACAAGCCTGGAACATTTCTATAAAATGAAACACAGCAGCCATTGTATTGCTCTACATGTTCTACAGAAGATGATTGGAAGATCTCTCTGGAAAATTTGATGGCCCTAGACGAACAACCTTGAATGATGCTGTTTATGGTTTAATTATGAAATGTCCTCAAAGATGCTGTCTTGATGCCCCATGCAACAGTGTTCAGGAGTGGGCCCTAGAGAGGTGACTGGGCTCTGACTTCATCATTGAAGCCATAATTTGATGGCATTATTAGGAGATGATGGAAACAGGAGGTAGGGCCTCATTGAGGGCAGTAAATCATTGAGGCATGACCTTGGGGACTAGCCCTGGTCCCTGGCCCCTTCCTCTTTGGCTCTTTCCCTTTTTGTCTCCTGCCTGGCTGGAATGAGAAGAGCACCTTTGCTCCACCATGGCCTTCCACCATAATGTTCTGTGTTACTTCGGGCCCACAGTAGTTGAAACAGCTGATCATGAACTGAAACCTCTGAAACTGTGAGCTAAAATAAATCTTTTTTCCTTTAAGTGGTTTTCTCAGGACTTTGGTTATGGTGACAAAAAGCTAATACAGATACTGTTTAAAATTCTCACAGTAAAAGTACCTGCTTCCTGCCCTGTCTTCCTGAAGTGATGTGACATTTACACGGTTGCAGGGTTTATCTGTCCACAGAGCTTGCAGTCAGGTTTTAGTATTTTTCTCTTTAATATGAATGAACATCAGGAATCATAGACATTTGAAGAAAGAGTTCACATTAAAAACAATAAAAACAAGACTTCACATTAAAAACCAGAACAAACTCTGAAAGAAACAAACAATGCAAAAGTGGAAGAAAATGTTAGAAAATAAGTATTGCCAGGTACAGTGGCATGTGCCTGTAGTCCCAGCTACTTGGGAGGCTGAGGCAGGAAGATTGAAATTTAAGCCTACCCCGGGCAACTTAATGACTTAGAAAGAATCTGTCTCAAAAAATAAAAAGGACCATGAATGTAGCTCAGTGTGAAGGCGCTGAGTTCAATCCCCAGTACTGTCCCTAAAAACCTTAGCGATAAGAAAAGGTACTGTATTCATTTAACAATAACAATTATAAGGTACTCCTATAAAGAAAAGAAACAAAAGATACTCAAAATATTATAGAAATTTAAAACAACAAATGGCAGGTTTGAGATATAAAATAGAAGTTCACAGAAAACAGAAAAAGCAGAGAGCTGGAAAGAGGAGGAAAAATGAATTTGAGGCTCTATTCGAGAGTCAGTATCTGAAAATGGAATATTTAGAAAGACTTAAGGGAAATGGTAGATAACTCTCTGTCACATGAACATTTTCTGGACCTAATGGACTCAAGTTTCTGTCTTCAGAGTTTTTACCTCCAGACAGCACAGCTGATGAACAGATATTAGATACATGGGTGTGAAGCATCTATAGGGGCTTAATGAGACCATGGAAGCTTCTGGAGGAAGAGAGTCTCACACATGAGTCTATAAGTCAGCATGGTGTCAGACTTCTTCACAGCAACATCTGAGCAGCATGGACTTTAGCACTCTTGATGAGAAGTTACTTCAGCCCTCAGGTCCACACTCTGTGCCAATGAAGTATGAGAGTATAATGAAAATATTTTTACATAAGCAGGGTCTCAAAGGACCTCCCTTCTGCCTTTTGTCAAGAAGCTACAGGAGTATGTTCCCCACAAAACAAAGCATACCAAGAAAGAAGACTAAGGATTGCAGACCAAGGAAGCTCCTGGGTCAACAGCAGAGAATAAGCTGTCCCATTCAAGCCAGACTTCAGGATTCTGTGGAGGAGGATGTCACAGACATTGGTGCTGATGAGCTCAGCCTTTTGTGAAGTAATAATCAGTGTGGTTGGAGAACTCTGTTGGAACATTTGGGTTTTAGTGACAGTAACAAAAATAAGCAAATAAAAGCATGTTTTTAACAAAGCTTTATAAGTGAGGCTGTTGGACTGGCAGACTACTAGGAGAACAAGGAGAAGAAACTGGCTTTATTGTAGTGAACTTTAATTATCTGACCAGTGGACTACCTATTGGGTCCTTTTTATTTTGGGACCCAGAAAAACAGTCTTAAAATAGTAGTTTGGTATGGAGTAAAGATTCCTGGGGACTTACCAAGTTTGGTCTTGGAACCTCTCTGCTGCATACTGGTAGTTGGGAGTAAAGGGAACAGTGAGTGGGATTTTTGTCTTCTCTACTTTCTTGTGGTTTTGGTTGTTGATTTTTGTTGTTGTTAGGCTCTTCAGAGAAAGAAGTTCCCGGGACCCAGCCGTACTGAATCTTACTCTTGGCCTCCCATAGCACGTGGCTGTGATGTGGTTGTCATTTCTCACTGTGGAAATGACCCTTTGTTGTACCTCCCACCATTGCTTACCATGTTGCAAATGGGGTGTTGCTACAAGTCATTACCAAGTAGAAACGGAGTAAGTTGACAGTTTTATTTCACAATAAAATGGAATAAGTACTTATTTTAAAATTGTATACCTAAGCTTTGGTAAATTTAAGTTACAGTTATTCAGTTTGGTTTCCAGATTGCCAGGACATAAGCTATCCTGTGAAAATGTTAGCCTTTCTCTTCACCGTGAGCCCCAGTTGTGGGCCATTGGCTGGGTAGAAGAGTTCTGGTTTTTAGGGATTAATATAGAGTTTATAAAAATGATCTCACTGATCATAATACATGTAACTGTCATGGCAACCATGTGAGATAGGTGTGTATTCTCACCACTTTAAACAGAAAATTCAGCTCATAAAAATCTATTGGGATGAATTCTTAACAACTGACAAGAGGTAGACGTGGGATTAGAAGCTCAGTTTTGGTGGTCTTTGTTGCATATTCTTTAAATTACATTATAGTACCCCACAGTGTCTCATAATCTTACTTTCTCCCTGTGTAAGAATCTGAAAATAACTGAGAAAACAATGGAAAGCAGGGAAATGGGGAATGAGGACCAGATGGTAGTAGGTGGTGATGTCCGCTTTGGCTCTCAGGAGAACTAATAGATATAAAACCTCCATCCGAGGTCTCAGTGCAAAGAATGCACTACAGATGGTTCCATCATGCATCACATCATGAGAAACACAGATATAGGCAAACACGCTTAGAGTTGCAGTTAGAAAAGATCATTTTTCTAATTATGCCGCACCTGTGATGCTTCCTTTAGGAATTTGCTCTAGTTACTATGTATTGGTTTAATCAAATTAAATGAAAATATCTGTACTCCTTAAATTAACAGGTAAGCCCTGCTGATGAGATGTGACTTGTGTTGAGGTAGAACCCTGGCTGGGCGCAGGGAAGGATGCCAGGCCTTGCCCCTCATGTCTCCCTGACTGACTCCATTCGTCCATGGTCAGCCTGCTTTCAGGCCTGTGCCTGGCAGCTGGCACTCACCTGGATCTGCCTGAAGGAAAGAAGAGATTAGGCTTATGTTCAGTTAACAGCAAGCATGTGTCCAGAAAGTTGTCTGGCATACATTGCTCATGCAGGAGAATCCAATAGCAGGAGGCTATTGGAGGGCAGGGTTCAGAAGGTAATTTCCTAAGGAAGAGAAGTGTTAGCCTTTTTTAAGGCCCCCTTTGGGAGGCAGTGAGTTAATTGTCATACCTAGGAATGAGAAATCTAGACTTAGGTTAAAATCCTATTGTCACCATGTGGTAGCTATACAGCCCTGGGCAACTGATTTCACCTCTCTGTCTCAGACTCTTCATCTGTGAAATGAGCCCTACCCTGTAAGAGTGTTTTATAAACAAAGTGAATTAATACTTATAAGGTACTTAGTTTAAATCCTAGAAAAACCCAGCTCAATGTGTCTAAATCTATCTTACTGAAACTATTCTTTTCCACTTATATAACAGTAGCAAAAATTTAACATAGTACTTTTTCTATACAAGGAGCTGTCCTAGAAATTTAACATATGAGGTAGATAAAGTATGGTGTGTTTTTAAATTTTAAAAAATGGATTACAGTAAAAGATACATTGCCATTAATCCCCCTCAAAATACTGCTTTCTTTGAACACACCCCATTGTTCTTGCCACTTTCTGAAGCAGTTCTGGAAGTCTTCTTTTGTGTCTTTAATTGCACTGTCTTGGCTACCGTGATGTCCTGAAGTGATTTAAAACATTTAGGGCTGGGGATTTAGCTCAGTGGCACTGCACCTGTCTTGCAAGCACAAGGTCCTGAGTTCAATCCCTGGTACAAAACAACAACAACAAAATTTACCTTTTATGGTCATTTTTACTTTAGGGAAAAGCCAGAGGTTACGAGGTTATGAGGCCAGATCTGGTGGATAAGGATACACCATAATGTTTTTACAAGGCTGCTTTTCTGTTGGATGGCAGTTTATAGCAACATTCATTATATATATTTTTTGGTACCGGGGATCGAACTCTGGTCCTTGCACTTGCGCAGCAGGCAGCGAAACCGCTGAGCTAAATCCCCAGCCCAACATTCATTATATTTTTGATCACATCTTGTAAAGACATGAAAAAAGACTTCCAAAACTGCTTCAGAAAGTGGCAGGAATGATGGGATAAGTATGTTTGAAATGAGGGGGAGCCAGGGATTTAGCTCAGTGGTTCCACTGCCCGCCTCGCAAGGGCAAGGACCTGAGTTAACTCCTGGTACAAAAAAAAAAAAAAAAAAAAAAGAGGGGGAAGTATTTTAAGAAGGACTAATGGCAATGTGTCTTTTACTATAATAAGTTTTTAAAATTTAAATATTCACTGTAGTTTTCAATCACACCTCGTATACTGTGTTTGATTCCTAACTACTGTCCAAAATTATTTGAATTTGTCTTTGTAGCCTCTTGTAATAATCGTGTGCCCTGGGTGGAAAAAGGCCCAATTAACTTTTGAATTATTGGGAGACTACAGCATGTCCTCCAGGCCTCTTCATCCGATGTTCTTAACAATTGGACTTCACAAAGATGAAGCCAAAAACATGAAGCTTCCAAGGGGGTGTAAGCATCCTTTTCTAGCTGTTTGGTTTCCCTACAGAAGACAGCAGAACCCTGGGGTCACAGATGTTGCAGCTTGTATAATACTGCAGCTGGTGGTCATTATCCAGACCTTCCTTGTCAGTTACTGATGGGTATTGATGATGATGATTCAATCTGGATCTATATCCGTTTCACTGAGAAAACTACATGACTTGATTCATTTGTCAGTTATCTACTGACCACTTGCTGTTTGTTAGATGCTGGGCTTGCAGTGTTGGCTAAAACCCTCCTGCCTTCCAGGAGTGCAGAGCCTGGCAAGGGCCCAGGCATTGGGGTCAGATGCTTGGGGGTGGAGGTAGGGGTGGGGGTTTCCTCACCCACCAGAATAGAGAAACAGCTTCTGAAAGGTATAAGATACCTTAGCAAAGGAGGTGTTAGAAATCCTTTGGAAAATCTAAACTGTTCATTGCTTTTTCTTTTAAAATGCAGGTGATGTGATAGTCACAACACCACACAACCTCCTGAGGCTTCTTGAATACCAGAGTTTGTTATTTCTTAGAGTCTGTCACCTGGTCTTGGATGAGGTGGAAGTACTATTTTCTGAGGCTAATGAACAAGTAAGTATGACATCCATTTGGATGTCATTACTTTTCGGAATGTATATTTCTTTTTTTTTTTTTTTTGATACCGGGGATCAAACTCAGGACCTTGCGCTTGCAAGGCAGGCGCAGGAACCACTGAGCTAAATCCCCGGCCCAAGAATGTATATTTCTGAAATATATGTCTTAACTGCTTTCAGGAATCAGGAAAGTCTCCAGTTGGGAGTAAACTGGTTGATCTCCAAAAAAATTTTTGTCTTTTAACTTCTGTAATTTAGAAGAGAGAATGTTTATCTGAAATTGCCTTCCCAATGTTCAAATTCACTCTTAAAGAGCAAAAATTCTTTCCCAAGAAGATTTGTTAAAATATTTAATACTTTTCTGATTATAGAAATATTTTTTATTTTTAAGAATTTGAGAAATAGATTCAAACACTTGAGAAAATTCAACACCTTTAATCTTACACCCAGAGGTAATCATTCTTTTGAAGTATTTTCATATTTTTAAAAAAATTCCTGCATGTGGTAGGGTTACTGCACTCCTGCCAGCAGGAGGCCTGGGCCTGGTTTTCTTTGCCAGGCTGATTGTTAAACAAGTGAGATCTCATTAGTGTAGTTTGTATTTCCTTGATTACTTAAGTTGAGCATTAATTCATATTGATCACTGTGTTTATTCCCCTATGATTTGCTTGTGTCCTTGGAGTCATTTTTTTAAAATCAGTTTTTTAAGTTTTAAATGTGAGTACTTTAATCTCTTGTTAGATATGTTACACATATTTACCAAGATGTTATTTTTGCTTTAATCCTTTTTATAGTGGGATTTTATGATATTTATTGACTTTGAGCATTTTCTTTTAGCTTTCCTTTCCTTTCCTTTTATTTTCAGAAGGGCTTTTCCCACTCTGAAAACAGAAAACACATAATCCTTTACATTTTATGTTGTCAAACCAATTCTTACTCTTCTTAAATATATATGAAATTTATGTCATTTTTTTTTAGATGTTTGCTATATTAGATAACTTTAAAAAAAATGTTAAAATGGAAGAAAGGGAGTCTGCACCACGTCAGATCATTGCAGTTGGCGTTCACTGGAACAGACACATAGAACACCTGATGAGAGAGTTCATGAGTGATCCCTACGTTGTGATCACAGCCCCAGAGGAAGCTGCCCTCTATGGGAACATTCAGCAGGTGATTTGCGGGGGCAACTGATGAGCACAAGCAAGTTACCTGTATTTCTTTTCTTTTCTTTTTTCTTTTTTTTTTTGTACCAGGGATCGAACTTGGGTCCTTCCGCTTGCGAGGCAGGCGTCAGAACCACCGAGCTAAATCCCCAACCCAGTTACCTATATTTCTATAGCTTAGCTATGAAAAGTGAAACTGCAGCCCTCTGAATATACCTTGCCTTATGTATTTCATTACCAGGTGGTGCATCTTTGCCTAGAATGTGAAAAAACCTCTACTTTACTCCAGGTTCTTGATTTCATCCCCAGTCGGGCACAAAAGACCTTGATCTTTACCTGCTCTGCAGCTGAAACAGAAATAGTGTCTAAGGTGAGCCCATCCACCCATAAAAATGTTTTCACAGTTAGTTTACACGGGGGCTGAGTCTTTAGTGGTCAGAAAATTACTAGAGTGAATATGTGGCAGAGATACATTTTCCCAAACTTCACATCAGTCTGCAGAGGAGGCAGGTTCTGCCAGAAGTGCTGAGAGCAGAAGACCTGGCCCAAGGGAGGAACCACACAGGGGTCCAGTTTTTCCCAGAGGCGGGTTCCCCAGAGAGCAGTGATGGGTGGCCTTGTCACTGTGGAGCGTGACAGTATCCGAGTGCAGAAGTGCCCACATCTTCTCTACTCTGAGAAGATAACTGTAAGATACTGTTCTGAGCCAGAATAGCAAAAGAAATTGGCTTAAAAACTTACTATGTTTTACTCTGATTTTGTATACATTAATGCTAAAATGTAGAAACAAAGGCAAATACAATAAAAGCAATCAGTAATGCATCTTTTTTCCTTTAAGAATGACCTTGAGAGAAGATAAAAATAAAAAGTCCTTGTTGACAGTAGGACCTTATATTTAATGTATACTTTCATTACAGTATGTATATATGCACATACACATGTGTATGTATTTTAAAAGGTAGGGAAATAGTTAAACAGTTACAGAACTTTGAAAATATTTAAGTTTATATTCATTTCATTCTCAAGAATTACTGGGTCCATGAGGTAATGCCTTCCCAGATAATGTAAAGTCATTTACATTAATAATTACTCATGAAATAGTCAACTTCAAGCTTGTGTTCCCTACTGCAAACTTACTTTTGGTTTTATCTTTAGGTAGTGGAAAGCAATTCAATATTTTGCTTGAAAATGCATAAAGAAATGGTTTTTGACTTAAAAAATGTTTTAGAACAGTGGAAGAAGTTAAGTTCTGGCTCTCACATTGTATTAGGTAAGTGTTTTAATTTCTACTTATATTTAGACAAGGCTGATCTAATGGGAACCATGTCTTCATTTATATATCTTCAGATTTCTCATTATTTCTCAGAATGTGTTAGTGATATTAATTTTATAATGAAAATTAACTTCCAGTTGAGGTGACTCTAGATGCTCCCAGGGCTCTCAGGGCCATAGGCAGCAACTGGTAGTCTAGCTATTCTCCCTGGGATTCTAGTCTGTATGCAGATAGCTCACAAAGTCTTTATTTATCTATGCACCAGTGCCTACAATGAGTCATGGTCATAATATTAGAAATATAAAGCCAAAATGTAGAAAATTAGTGAAAAATATATAGGTGGCCTGGATTTGTCATAGAAAAAAGGCATTTTTTTCAGCCCAAAAGGGAGGCCATTTCTCTCTGGAATTTAAGCACTGGGCTGTGTCATTTTTTGGGAAAAAAAATGGGAACGTTTCTTTGCATCTAAAAAGTAAAATGTGGGACTAGAGGTATAATGATACAGCACTCGCCTAACATGCTTAAGGCCCTGGGTTCCTTCTCTAGCATCACAAAATATAAAAGCAAAATACAGTATGGAAATGCAGTGCACCATGATTACTGGGACTGCTCATTAAAGTGAGTGCCAAAAGCTCCCGCTCATGGAAACTTGTTGGAATCCTTTCCTCCAGCCTTAACTGATGACTGCATACCACTCCTGGCCATCACTGATGCCACATGTGTGATTCACTTCAGCTTCCCTTCTTCACCAAAATTTTTTGGTGGTCGCCTATATTGCATGTCTGATCACTTTGAGAGTTTAACTGAACAGGTTTGATCAATTTTTGTTACCTTCACTGTTTCACTGTCATTTTCTGTGTAAAAAATTCAGAGCCCGTTAAGTTTCATTGAGACTGGTATAGATGATCACTTCCTTTGTTTATCCTGATTTTAAGGGTTCTCCTGCAGAGCAGAGAGATAAAAAACCCAAGTCTGTCTTGTTGCTGACGGAGAAAAATGCAAGCCAGGCAGTTGGTGTCCTGCGCTACTTGGAGCGAGCAGATGCCAAAATCCCATTGGAGCTGTATGAGTTTACTGCAGGAGTCCTGGAAGCCAAAGAAGATAAGAAGGCCAACCGACCTCTGTGTCGGTATCTTAAGGCTTTTGGATTTTGCAAGTAAGCCTGAGTTCTTTCTAAATTGAAGTGTAACATACAGTAAAGTACACAGATGATAAGTTTACAGCTTGAAACATCACATCTGTGCATCTGCATAAACCACCACCAGCTCTCAGAGCACAGAGCTTCCCGTACTCTTCCTAATGTGCCCTCTCCAGAAGTAACTACCCTCCGTCTCTCTCAACATTGATAAGTTTTGCTCCTTTTCACCCCAATTTTAACACATCTTTATTGTATATGTTAACAGGGTTTGATGTGATATTTACCTACATGCATATAGTGAAATCTGGCTCTCCTTTTTTTTCTACCCCACCCTTACACTCTTCTCTTTCTAGTAATCACTAATCTACTCTCAATTTCACTTTTTTTAGCTTCCATATATGAAAGTGAATATGAAGTACTTATCTTATTTCACCAAACAATGTCTTCCAGATTCATCCATTTTGATGCAGACAATAGGATTTGTTTATGGCTGAATAGTACTCCATTGTGTATGTAGGCCGCATTTTCTTTATCCATTTATTTGTTAATGAGCACCCAGGCTGATTTCATATTTTAGAGTTTTGCTCATTTTTGAACTTTCATATAAGTGAAATTATAGTGTGTACTCATGTTTCTGTCTTCTTTCTTTCAACCTAGTATCTCTGAAATTCATCTGGGTTGTATGTATCCATTTTATTTATTTTGTGGATATAACCCTTTGTATGAATATATCACAGTGTATGTATCTATCCTGTTGACAATCATTTATAATCCTAAAATCTGAAATGCTCTCAAATCTGAAACTTTGTGAGTGCTGACATATCACCTGGTAATCCGTATTGCTTTAGTTTGCATGTATAATCTGAGGTCTTGACTTTTTGCATATAGATTATCATCTGTTCCATCAGCCAAGTGGTGGGGTATGCAGTCTGTTTTGGGAGTCTGTTTTACTAAATTGGACCATTTGTCTCTCCTTTTATCAACACTACACTTTAAGCATTGTAGCTTTATAATGAGTCTTGGGATCTTGCATATAAACCCTCCAACTTTATCTCTGAGGTTGTTTTGGTTATTTAAAATCTTTTGCTTCTCCATACACATTATAGAATAAACCTGTTAATTTCTCCAGAGATCCCACTAGAATTTTGATAGAGACTGCATTGATGCTGTAGATCAGTTTGGGGGGGTGGGGATACCTGAATAGTCCGGAGGGCCTGCTAGACATGATGCCACTACTTGGTAAATGGACAGCTGGTGTGTAGGTGTCTGGTAACATGTACTGGATTGAATTTAAGATAACTATTGATGTTAATTATTTTGCATTATGATATATTAAATACCTTATTAGGTATTTTATTTATGGTTTTAAATAGAATATTGTAGCCAGACATAGTGGCACATGCCTGTAATCCTAGCACTTGGCCAGCCAAAGCAGGAACATTGTGAATTCAAAGCAGACCTGGGCTGCATATCAAGTTCAAGGCCAGCCAGGACTCCATAGCAAGGCCCTGTCTAAATAAGTCAATAAATAGGAAAAGAAAAGAAGTATCTCGTTTACAAACTTGATTCTTTCCATAATTCTGGTCAGAACTGAATCAAATTCAGTGGTTAGGTTCAATGTTAACCTTACGGGGAAGTTTGATTTGGTTCTTGTCCAGCTTGGTTTGTGACCAGAATTGTGGAGAGAATTGAGTTCATGAACTGAGGTATAACTGTATATATGTAAAATTCAAAATTTCTTTTTAATATTAACTTTTAAAATTGGAACTTTAACTGTTTCTCAGTTTGGAGGTAACATTTAAGGAGTGGCTTCTAGTTCAGAGGTTAATTGTCCTGTATTTTGGATTATGATGATATTATGTTGCTGAATATTTTTGAAGCATATTTTGTTAGTTTACATATCTCTTTTCCACTTATCTGTATATTTATATATTGTTAGTGTCACCTGAAGTATTTAATGTGTTTACTTAAGATGTAAATTTACTTGGAATAAAAGTTCTCTAATTTCAGTTGCAGATTAATTTTTGAAGAATGTTTCAGAATTCATGTTAAATGTTCTTATTTTTTCCTAGCTTTGAAATCTAGTCATTTTAGGGCGCTAGGCATGTAGCTCAGTGGTAGAGCTCTTGCCTCGCATGTTTGAGGCTACACACAACTACCACCACCACCACAACAGACCTAGTCTTTTTTTTTTTTAAGAGACAAAAGGATCTGTCCTGACCGACACCATATTAATCCAGAAACGGACATGCCAAGGAAATTAACCAAACAAGCACTACCGATGTTTGGATACATTAAAGTAAGTTCTGTTAAGATGCTTTTGTTCAGTGTGGATGGTTGTTTTAATAAGTATATTTAAGCAGAAGGATCTTGGTACAATTTGTGGTCAAATATACTACCATTAATCCAGTAACAGAAATGGATTCTTATAATGTGCTTTATTTTAGGGCTTCGGTTTATATAAGACCTAAATCAAATTGGGTAAATTGATGACAATTTAGGGATTTTTGAAAGTTATATTTTTAGAAAAAATTATGTGTTTGGAGGCCATTAAAAATAATGCAGTGCCGGGCATGGTGATGCATGACTATAGTCCCAGCACCAGGAAGTTTGAGGCAGAAGGATCACCGCAGATTTGAGCCCTGTGTGGGCTACCTAGTGAGTTCAAGGCCAGGCTGGAATACATAGTGAGACCCTGTCTCAAAAAATAAAAGAAAGTTAACTCTCTTAAAAATAATGCACTTGGGGCCGAGGATTTAGCTCAGTGGTACCAGTACCTACCTGGCAAGTGCAAGGTCCTGAGTTTGACCCCTGTTACCGGGGGCAGGAAATACAGTGGTTAGCTGAGTCTTTTCCAAACATCCCTGATTATTCTTGTGCAGAAAATTCTCATAATCAGAATTGCTGAGTTGTCATTTTCTTTCAAATCCCTTTGATTAATTTCTACATTCCTGAATTTAAATTTTTTCTTCTCCTTTTTCATTTAATGCATTATCTTCTATATTAGTTTCCTGTGGCTTCTGTAACATATTGTAACAAATCACCTCTTTTGGTGACTTAAAATGACACAGATTTCTTTTCTCCCAATTCCAGAGGCATTGGCTGGGCTGTGCTGGGAGCCTCTAGGAAATACCCTAGTCCTTGCCTCTTCCAGCCTCTGGCTCCACGCATGGCTTGGCTGGTCTCAGCATGTAGCCATAGCTCTCCTGCCTTTGTGTCTATCACATCACTTTCTCCTCTTCTCTCCTGTCCCTCATGGGGACACTCTTTATTGGAGGGAAAGCCACCTGAAAATCTACAACAGTCACTTCCTTTGGAAATCATCACTTATATCTGCAAAGACCACCCCCCTTTTGTTTTTCTTTTTGAGACAGGGTCTTTCTATGTAGTGCAGGCTGGCCTTGAACTCACTATGTAGCCCAGGCTGCCCTTGAACTTGTGACCCTCTTGCCTCAGCCTCCTGAGTGCTGGAACTACAGGTGTGTGCCGCCACACCTGGTAGAACTCTTTTTTAAGTAAGGTCACAGTGACCTTGGGAATTAGGATGTGCATATATATTTAGGGGAAGGACACCATTTCAAGCTACTAGTTTTTATTGAATGTTTTTTTCTTTAATTTCTAATTTGTTTCTGAGTTTTAACACCTCATTTCTAAGTTTTTCTAATTCTTTTTTTTTTTTTCCCTGGGGGAATGGGAATGCTAGGGGTTAACCTCAGGGCTTTGTATGTGTTAAGCACACTGTGCTCTGCCATTGAGCTATATGCCAATCCCTGATTTATGGTTTTTGTGGGGTTTTTTGGTACTGGGGATCAAACTTGGGACCTTGCCCTTGCGAGGCAGGTGGCGGAACCACTGAGCTAAATCCCTGGCCCTGATTTATGTTTTTTATTTTTTAATTTATGTTATTTTTAAATGTCACATAGCATTTAAAAGGCTAAAAGGCACCGTGTTTTGAAATTAAAGGGTACAATTTTGATCTGTTTTGTGATACATCTTTCATTTTATTTTGGACCCAGGGGAGCTCTACCACTTAGCTACATTCCCAGCCATTTATTTGTTTATTTATGTGGTTATTTATTTAAATCTTGACACAGAATCTCAACTAGTTGCTTAGGCTAACTTCAAACTTGTGATCCTCCTGTTTCAGCCTCCCAACTAGCTGGGATTACGGGTGTGTGCCACCATGCCTGGTTGTGGATAGTCTTTCTAATGGTTTTCATTATCTCTAAGGACTGGTTTTTTTTCTTTCTTTCTTTCTTTTCACCAGGGATCGAACTCTGGACCTTGCGCTGGGAGGCACGTGGCAGAATCCCTGAGCTAAATCCCCGGCCCTTGATTCTTTCTTATTTTATTTTTATATATTGTTTTTATTAATACGGGATTTGACCTTGGTACTTTACTATTGCTAATTTTTAGATAAAATTTATTTTCCTTAAATTTGAGAAGAAGCTGTACATCAGAGTAACTTTTCTCATTTCAGAGAGTTCTCCTTTCTGTTGTTTATGTGTTCTGTGAAAACAAAACAAAACAGCATGACAGAGCATCTGATATCTTCTGGCTCCCTTCCCTTCTTCTATCCAGCCCTTTCCTTCCTTCATTGTTCTTGTTGCTAGAGGGAAGTCTTGAGATATTTTGGCAGCTGGAGCTCCCCTGCTGTGGGAGCTGGTGAGAGCTGGTGGTGGGGCTGCCTTGTCCTGCAGGCTCATATGTTTTCCTGACCACCCGTGGGCTCTGCTCTGGGCCAAGGGCTGCTCCACTGCTTCGCTCTGCTGTTCTGTACTAAGCCCTGAGGCAGCACCGTGAGGCTCTTGTGCTCATGGAGCAGGATTTGCTCATTTGCCCTTTTTTTATTAATAGATTTTGATTTTTAGAGCAGTTTTAGATTTATAGAAAATATAGACAGTTCCCATAAACCACTTCACTTCCTCTCTCCTGTTTTTCCTATTATTGAAATCTTGCATTAGGGTGGTACATTTGTGACAGTTGAACAAATATTGGTACTTTATTATTAACTAGAGTTCTTAGTTTACATTAAGGTTCTCTCAAAGTTGTATAGTCAGGTGGATTTTGACAAATGTAAAAAGTTTGTATCCACCAATATAGTATCATTCAGAGTAGTTCCACTGCCTTAGACATCCTCTGTGCTACACCTGTTCATCCCTCCCCTTCAACCCAGACTTCTGGCAACCACTGCTCTTTTCTCTTTTTCTCTTTTCCAGAATATATAATTAGAGCCATACAGAATGTTTCCTTTTCAGGTTGTTTTCCTTTAGTAATATGCATTTAAATTTTTCACGTCTTTTCATGGCTTGATATGTACGTAGTAGCCCATTGTCAGGATGAGTCACAGTTTATTTATTCATTCATTTTGAAGGGCTTTATAGTTGATCCCAAGTTTTGGCAGTGAAGAATAAAGCTGCTGTGAACATTATTGTGCAGATTTTTGTGTGACCATAAGTACTCATCTCCTTTGGGTAAATAAATACAGAGGACTGTGATTGCTGGTTCAAATGGTAAAGATACAGGGCCAGGGATTTAGCTCAGTGGTTCCACTGCTTGCCTCACAACCACAAGGACCCCGAGTTCAATCCCCGGTACCAAAAAAAACCCAAATGGTAAAGATATATTTAGTTTTGTGACAAACTTCCAAGTTGTCTTCCAAGGTGGCTGTATCTTTTTTTGCATTCCCACCAAAGATACCTGAGAGTTTTTGTCACTCTATAATCTTACCAATATTTGGCACTGTTGGGTTTTGTTTGGATTTTAGCAAGTTTTTAGCTATATAGTGGTATGGGTCTTGTTAAATTTTCCTGATGACACACGTAATATGATTCAAAAATATGGTGAATGTTAAATTTTCTGAATTTATTACAGTAAAAGACACATTGCCATTAATCACCCTCACAATATTCACCTTCACTTTGAACACACTTAGCCCATTCTTCTTGCCACTTTCTGAAGCAGTTCTAAAATCCTTTTGTGAGTAACTTCAGTGGCTCCCTTGATGTCCTGAGTCTGTTAAAAACATTTACCTTTCATGGTCATTTTAACTTTGGGGAAGAGCCAGACATCCCACTGTGCCAGAGCTGGTGGATGAGGTGGATGAGGACACACCATAATATTTTTATGATCTTGCCTTTTTGTTAGATCAGAAGCAGCATTCACCATAGTTTTGGCCACATCTCAAAGACATAAGAGGACTTCCACACTCCCTCAGAAAGGGGAAAGAATGATGGGATAAGTGTGTCTGAAGCAAGGGGGAGTATTTTAATAGGGATTAGTGGCAAAGTGTCTTTTACTGTAATAAGTTTTTTTTTTCCGGTACTGGAGATCGAATTCAGGACCTTGTCTTGTGAGGCAGGTGTGGTACCACTGAGCTAAATCCCTCGCCCTCACTGTAATAAATTTTAAACGTTTAAACATTCACTATATATTTTCATGATACCTCATAAGCTGTTGAGCTTCCTTGACATGCTTATATGCCATCTGTATATATTCTGTAGTATGCTGTCTGTTGAAAAATTTTTAATTGATTCTCTTACTGTTTTATTTTTTGTGGTGCTAGAGTTTGAACTCAGAGCCTTATGCATTCCAGGCAAGTGCCCTACCACTGGGCTTTCTTAATTGTTTTAAAAGTTCTTTATATGTTTTGCATAAAAGTCCTTTGTCAGGTAAATGTTCTGCAAAAATTTTCTTGCCCTCTTTGGATTGTCTTTTTCATTTGCTTTATGGTATTTTTTGTAGAGCCTAAGGTTTTTAAAATTTAATGAAGACAAGTTACTAATGTTTTTTATATCATGGATTTTACTTTTGGCATTATATCTTAAAACATCAACAGGATGTAGTAGCATATACTTATAATCCCAGCTGGTTGACAGGCTGAGGCAGAAGGACAAAAAGAACTAGGGATATATCTCAGTCAAATCCAAGGTCACTTAGATTTTTTTCCTGTGTTATCTCCCTCGTCTGCTGTTATTTTAGGGTGCATGGGAATATTTTGTCAATTACCGTTGTAAGTTATGTGCCTGAGTTCTGCTTTTGCCGACCTGTTGTTCTGTCTCTGTTCATGTGAGGATTTAGAAACAAAAAAATAACTGGCATTCACTGTTGCCACCTTTCGAGACCCCCTCCCACTCCCCGCCAAATCTCTTAAAGTCTCTTGTTTTTCAATCAGCTGTATTGAGGTATAGTTTACATACAGTAAAAATAGTTGTATAGTTTGTCAGGTTTTGATAAATCTGTATAGCCACTTAACCACTACCACTGTCATGATACAAGCATTTCCATCACCCCATAAAGATCTGCCCCTTGACGGTGAGACTTTGCTCTACACCACCATCCCTGGTAACCCCGATCTGCTTTCTTTTGTGATAGTTTTGCCTTTACTGGCATTTTATATTAATGGAATCATGCAGTATGTAGTTTTTTAGTCTGATTTCTGTTCTTCAGTATAATGCTTTTGAGATTCATCTATGTTGTTCTTTTCATTACTGAGTAATATTCAGTTATGCAGATATATAGTGCCATAGTCGGTTCACAGGTCAGTGAACATTGGGTTGTTTCCAATTTCTGTCTGCTTTAAACATTTGTGTTATAAGTCTTTTTGGACATATATTTTCATCTCTCTTGAGTTAGACTTAGGAGTAGAATTTCTGGGTCATAAAAGTATGTTTATGAGAAACTGTCAATTTTCTAAAGTGCTTGTAGCATTTTTACATTCTCACTAGCACAACATTTGGAAATCTAAGTTGGTCCATATTCTCATTAGTACTTTAGCTATTCTGTTTCACTGATATCTTATTTGTAGTTCCCTAATAATTAAGGATCTTAAGCATCTTTTCTTTCCACCACATCCTTTTGGGGCCATTTATATCTCTTACGAGATCTCTGTTCAGAATTTTTTTCCTACAGAAATAGGGATGGAACGTAGGGCTTTTGCACTGAGCTACATCCCAGCCCTTTTTAATTTAATTAATTAATTAATTAATTAATTTATACCAGGGATCAAACTCGGGACCTTGTGCGGCGCCAGAAACACTGAGCTAAATTCCTGGCCCCTCCCTTTTTTATTTTTTGAGACAAGGTCTCACTAAATTTCCAAGTTGCCCAGACTGGGCTCAAATTTGTGAATCTGTTGCTTCAGTCTCCTAGAGTGCTGGGATTATAGGTGTGCACTACTACAACCCATCTCTTGCCTATTTTTTAAATTTGTTTTTTTATTTTCTCTATGAAGTTTTAAAGAGTTCTTTACATATTCTGGATGCTCTGTGTCATGTGTGTGTATGTGTGTGTGTTTGTGTGTGTGTGTGTGTATAGAGAGAGAGAGAGGGCGAATAGATTTTTTTCAATTGCAGAGCAAAGTTTTTTAATTTCTGTGAGGAGTTTATCACTTTATTTTTTGTGCTTTTCATGTTGTAAGAAATGTTTGCCTACTCTGAGGTCACAAAGATTTTTTTCTTTTTTTTTCTATATAATTTTACATTTAAGTCTCTAATCCATCTCACATTACTTTTTGCTTGATTTGACATGTGGCACAAGGCTTAGTCTCATGGATAATCAGTTGCTCCAGCATCATTTACTATAAAGACCTTCTCTTTGCCTTTAATTACATTGGCTCCTGTGATGTAAATCAGGAGACCATCTATGTGGATTCTGAGTTCTTGACTCTGTTTCTCTGTCTGTCCTTACACCATACTGGCTTGATTAGTGTTATAGTCTTGAAAACTGGTGGGTAAGTTTTGTACTTTTGCCTTTCTTCAGTATTCTTTTTCTATTTTTTTGCATAGTCATATAAAATTTTACACTTGTAAGCCTATAGGGACTTTTGATTGATACTGCATTGAGTCTATAGGTTAATTTGGGGAGAATTAACATTTTAACCAGATCAAGTGATCTAGTCCATTAACATTCTAAATCATCTTTAATTTCTGTAAGCATTGTGTTACAGTTTTTAGTAACAAGTGTCATATTTACTATGTTAAAGTTATCCCTAGTAATTCAAGTTTTGGTTGCCATTGTTAATATTATTTTTAAGCTACCTTTTTTTTTTCTTGCTTGCTTTTTTCTTTGAAACAGGGTCTTGATATGTAGTTCAGGCTGGTCTTGAACTCACTATGTAGCCGTCTGGCCTTGAACTCATGGTGATCCTTTTGGCTCAGCCTCCCAAGTGCTGGGATTACAGGCATGTGCCACCATGCCTACCTAAACTACCTTTTCTAATTGTTTTAGAAATTAACTTGGTTTTAATATTCTTACCTTGGATTCTGCAATAATAACAAACTGAATTATTTATCTGAAAAGGTCCAAGGGAGAGTGGGATTGAAACAGGCAGGGGAGAGTGCCTAACAGGCACCCTCTTAGTTTATACAGTCAAGACAGGGCTTTTCCAGCACATGGGACTTCCGGTGCTAAAGCTAGGAAAGACCCCTGCACACCAGGATGAATAGGTCACTGAGTCTGAAAGCCTAATACTGCCCCACCCTTTTGTGAAGAGCATCCAGTCCCCCAAACTTCCTTTGACCATCTCCTTTCTGCTGCAGTAAATTGTGTTTTGATATGCTAATGCTGTGCAGGGGAACTGCCTGGCTGAGGCCCCTTAGCCTAGCACACACAGGTGTATCATTTGGGAAGTGCAAGACTAAAAAGAATCCCCAAGTCTTTATTTTTTATTTTGAAATGGGGGTCTTGCTTAATTACCAGGTTGCCCAGGCTAGACATGAATTTGGCATTCCTCCTGCTTCAGCTTTCCAGAGGGCTGGGATTTCAGGTGTACACCACCAATATCCTCCACTAATTTTTTTTTTTTTTTGGTACTGGGGATCGAACTCGGGTCCTTGCACTTTCGAGGCAGGCGGCGGAACCACTGAGCTAAATCCCCGGCCCCACTAATTTATTTTTAAAAGCCCTGTGGTCACTCTTTGGATTCTTAGGTCAGGTGCATTTTCTGCAGATACAGGAGGTGTGTATACATCTTTGTTTTAAGTTAAGTTTGGTTTTTGGATATGTTTATTGTGTATGTTTCAGATAATACCTTGTTACATTTCAAATGCAACGAATTATTTTGGTCGCATAATTGATAAACATGTGGATCTTTATGCAACTCTTAATGCTGAAATGAATGAGTATTTTAAGGATTCTAGTAGTAAAACAACTGTTGAGAAGGTGGAGAAATTCAGATTGTATGGATTAGAAGAAAAAACATCTTTTCACAGGTAAAATAACTGTTTCATCTCTAACATTGTGAGGCATGAGATAATTCTAGTGGTTTTGCATGCCTGTTTTCACTCTTGGCCCTTGACTGAATGTGTGCACCTTATGCCTGGCCCCTCCTGGGAGGGTAGTGTGGCACAGTATACCCCAGACCCCTGGTTTAAGGTGCATGGGACACCACCCTGGCTCCCAAGCACAGAGCATGATAGCAGAGCAAACCCAGATGTTTATTAAGTCGACACTGTATGGAACATACACACGCCTCTGTAATCCATTTAATTCTTACCAAATTCCTGTAAAACCGGCAGTGTTTCCGTTTTACAGATAAGCAGCCTGAGCTATGGAGGGTTACGTCGTATATAAGTTGTTGAAGCTCAGCTCAGGGTAGCACAGTCAGTGTGGCCTGCCTGACCCATGTGCTTGTTTGCACCCACTTTTCTGAATCCACACCCAGTGCTCCTGGTTACTGCCTTGAATTGGAAACTGTGAAACTGTACTTTGCTGTGTTTTTATTAGGTTGTCTGGTAAAGGGAGCTACTCACTTCAGAAGTACTACCTGCTTTATATTTCTGTATACTTTAATCAGCCATTAAGAGCTCTTGAAGGCCCTAGTTTTTAATATTCCGAATAGAGGGTAAAATCATGCAGTGTGGGAGTCTTTTGTACATTTTCTGTTTTATGGGTAAGTTGAACCAGAGATGATTTCCTGTTTTAGAATTGCTGATGCCACAGTTGTTCTCCAGGGTTCAAGTGTTAGAGATGAGCCCACGAGAAGATTCATGGGTCCTGGACAGTGTCCTGGTGAAATTCATAGATGAAGGCAGGACAGGACTGGTCGCTACAGCCCAGCTGTTGCATCTCCCTGAGAACTTCAGTGCTCTTCCCCCGCAGGCTGTGGAGTTTATTGTCTGCAGAGTGAGGCCCGCTGACAATGAGATAGAATGGAATCCAAAGGTGAGTCTCCTTGGCTTTTTATGTTTTCTTGACTTGTAGAATATATTTAACCCAGAACCTATACAGAATTTAGGCTTATTTGAATTTAGAGCATTGCATTTGGGCCTTAGCTTTATGCCCTAGCATGCAGTCTGCTTAGGTTCCTGCTGGTACAGAATGGTGCTGACTGCCACCTTGCATGGAACCGTATTACTGATATAACACAGGAGTCGTGGTGAAATAAACTGGTTGTCAGCTTAATTGGAAGAAACAGTGTGAGCACCTACAAAAACAGGTCCCAAAGTGGGGATAGAAGTGGTGCCTGCTTTCTAGAGGGCCCTAGAGCTTCTGTTGGGGTAAAGGATGGACAAGGAAGGGGAGGTGGAGGCTAGAAAAGCTTCCAAAGGAAGGGACATTTACTATGGGATCACTAGGATGTTACAAAGCAGTGTGGATAGATAAGGGACTGATGGTAGAGACATAGCCTGTGCCAGGACATGGGGGACAGAGTAGTCCCATGTGGGCTCATGTGATGCCAGAGTGGGTGGGGGACCTGACAGACCGCGCTGCTTATCACTGGAGCAGTGAGCCCTGTTCCTAGTGATGCTCCTGATTCTTCAAGAGAAGGTTAAATATTGTGGATGCTGATTAATGGGATATAAAACCATTACAATTAGCAAAGTAAAATCAGTTTGTGTTATAAATAAGTTTAGGCACTGCCCAGGAAATAAGTTGATTATCTCCAGGATAAACTCGCTGTTATGGGTTTAGTAAAAATAGCCTTTATCAAAGTGTAGTCCTTTCTTTTGTCATATGAGGTTTTTTCTGAGAGGCTATTGTGTGCCAGGTCCCGTACTGGGTCTGGATGTGTAGCTATCAGCTAGAAGGTCGAGGTCCTTGTCCTAAAGAAACTTTTGGTCTGTAAAGATGCCTAACTGTAATGTTCTTTGAAACATAGCTTTCTGTAGAAATGGGGGCATGTTCTCCCAGATTCACTTAAGAGAGTTCACGGAGGGTGGAAACAATCTCATGAAAATGACTGGCTCCCTCATTCTCTGCTTTATTGGTGTTTAACTGCTCATGAAACATTGTTCAGACAGTTTCACTTTTAAAAAAATTAATTTATTGGTACATTTTAGGTATACAATATAATGACATTCATCATTGGAAATTTGCACCTTTACGTAATCTTTCTTAGTTCTTATTTTTCCCCCTTCCCCTGCCCTCCCTTCAACCCCTCCATCCCTCCCTATTTACAAAGACTTCGTTTCCATTTTTTCATTTTCTCATATTAATTCCATTCCCTTCTTTCCTTTCTCCTACCCTCCCACTTCCCCCTCCCCTTTGGACCTTTTCTTCCTATTTCATATTATCTATTATACCTTTTAGTTCTTATTTACACTTTCAGTTTCTCACACCAGAGAAACTATTTGGTATTTACACGTGTGTCCTATTTATTTCACTTAAGAGTATCACCTCAGTGTGCATCCATTTAGCTATAAATGTCTCTAATTTCTCATTTTTTATGGCTGAGTAGTACTCAGTTTTATAAAAAAAATACCACATTTTCTTTATCCAGTCTCCAGTTGATGGGCATTTGGGCTGCTTCCATGTTTTAGCTTTTACAAATTGTGCTGCTATGAACATGGTACACATATATCACTGTGGTATGATTCTTTTAATTCTTTGGGGAAGATCCCCAGCAGGGGAATAGCGGGGTCAAATGGGACTTCCATTCCTAGTTCTTTAAGCTATCTCCATACTGATTTCCACAGTGGTTGCACCAGTCTACACTTGCACCAGCAGTGGAGCAGTGTTCCTCTTTCCCCACAGCCCCTCCAGCATTTGTTGTTGGTTGATTTCAGACAGTGTCACTTTATGGCCCTATTTGAGAGGAAACAGTAATGCACTGTTGCTGGCTATAGAGTGGCTCCCTAGTGCCTAGTGACATTCTCTGGAGCCTCAGGGACAACCTTCATTTCACTCCCCTTGAGCTTTCAAGGAAAAACATTTATACTCTAAAGATAGGTTGATAGCTGGAGGAGAAGGAAGCACCATGACCACAGTGGAAATACTTGTCGAGAGCACAAAGGCTCAGACCCTCACCTGCCCTTGGAACTTGCTAGCAGGAGACCTTGAGCAAGCTTCGGTGCCTTTCCACTCCTATCCTTGTTAAACTCTACTGTTACCTTCAGCAAGGAAAGGGTGTGGATGCCTTCCTAACCTATAGGGTTGTTGTGAGGCTCAAATGAAATGCAGTAATATTTTGCAAAGTACATAGTATATACAGAATAAGGTATATTTTCTTATTAAAGTTTCAGAAAAATAACAAGTGCTTTTTTCAGGTTACTAGGTACATTCATCATAAAGTTGTTGGAAAATTGCATGATGCAAAGGTGGTATTGGCTTTGGGAAATACAGTTTGGATTGATCCAATGGTAGGTATTCAGACTTCCTAAGAAGAAATTATTTTGAACAGGCCACTAAAATGATCCAAATTGTTCTAATGTGTTTCACTGCTTATATGGTACTCTGTGTTGGGGAGGAGTGTTTTGTACATTATTTGTGTTTTTAATTTGGTTGTGGGTTATTTGATGGATTGTTTTACATTGTAACCAAGCACTCATATGCATTTGTGTATGTGATGTCATGCTCTCATGCATACACAACTGAAGTTTTGTGAAACTGTCCTTGCTACCCCTGTCATTCTGTAATATCTACAATTCTGTTCTACTTTTTTCAAGCATTGATCATGATCATTAAGTTGATTTCACAGCCCACTGTCTATACAGTGTACTACACAGAGGCCCTGGGCTGATAACTGCTACAATAGTGCCTGTCTTTTCTAGTTTGTAAATGATCCTAAAGACCTGGGAGGTGCTTGGTAATCCTGAGGGTTCCAGTCCTTGAGCACTAAAAGATAGGTTTTATGTTGACATTTCACTCATCAGATGTTTGTTGAGTACCTGTGGTACGACCAGAGCTAGACCCATGGGTTTCACCTGTGAGCAGAGCAGCAGAGGCCCCTCTACTGCAGCAATAGGGGTGGAGAGTGAGTATGACACAGGACATGGGCTTGGGGCCTCTGTCTCTGTACTGTGCTGGCACCATCCCCTTTCCACTTATACCACTAGAACTCTACTTTTCAATTCAAGGTTTTGCTGTGTTAGACAAATCTTAATTATTATGATTAGATATAAAGGAATTCAGTTCAATTAAATGAACTATTTTGCTGAAAGTTATTTGCATAGGGTTAGAAAAGCTTTAACATGTTAAAAGGGCAGTATCAGTATAAGACTTAAGAATAAGAGGAGAAGCAAGGCATGGTGGTACAAATCTGTAATCCCAACACTTGGGAAGCTGAGGCAGGAGAATCACTGAGAGTTCAAGGCCAGCCTGGGCTACAAAGTGAGACCGTGTCTCAGAAAAAAAAAAAAAAAAAAAAAAGGAGAAAATAGTTTTTAGAAAAGAAAATACAGATTATCAGTGCAGGTAAGTAGAGTGATAAAAGGGTCATAGTTGATGTAGTCATTACTCAGTATTACAGTTGCTTTTTATTCAAGAAGAAAAGTGGAAATTTGAATTAGGCAGGGATTTTTAATACTACAGCTCAAAGAATGGAACAAAAAAGACAACCCACTTGGCAAATGTATTTCCACAGCTACAAAGTGTGTAACAGTGCCTCCTGGCACACTGGAGGGGAACAGACCCCAGCCACCTCCACTTCTGTCTTCCTACCCAACAGCGTAGCTGGGGTTTGTACTTTGTTTGAAAGGAAGCATGCAGTGTGTCTCTTTCATGTCTAGCTTCTGAGACTCAGAATTGCCTTTGTAGTTCTTCTGTACCCAGCCCAGCTCCCTGTCCACTTTGAGGGGGGAAAGGCTCTTCTGTCCAGCCCAGATGGGACTCATGTCCAGGGTTCACTCTGGAAGGTGCCCATCAGACTAGCCTAGCCCACTCCTGCCTGCCATGGAAGGGACACTCCTATACTTCCCCTCCATAGGAATCAGACTATTGCAGATTTTCATGGTTTACTTAATATTGTATAAATTAAAATGAATGAGAATGTTTTGGTTGCAAAAAAGATGGAGGAAATGGTCCAGAACGCAGGATTTAGGGTCTTGACATAAGCCCTTTCTAGGCACAGGAGGACTCTGAGCTTTAGGATCTCCTTTGTTAATAGAAGTAAAAGTAATTGAGTAAGAATCAGAAAACAAATCACAATTTTCTTTCCAGTTGTAGCATTGTAGATTTATCTGAACTGAGGATTTTATTCCCATACCTGCTCATATTTTTGCAGGTTGGGACTGGGTTTTGGGTGGTTCTGTTGTAACTTCAGTTGTGAAGTAAGCAGATGCTGCAATGGAAAACCTTTGTGCACTGTGGCATATCACAGAGAGACACTTTAGAGCATTCATTGTTCAATTAAAAATCAAAGAATGGCCGGGCATGGTGTTGTACCCCTGGAATCTCAGCAACTTAGGAGGCTGAGGCAGGAAGATCAAAAGATTGAGGATAGCCCTGGCAACTTAGACAGATTCTGCCTCAAAAAACATAAAGGTCTGAGGCTGTAGTGCAGTGGTAGAGCATAGTACTGGGAATAAGGTGTGACTCCTGCAGACATTGTTTTTTCTTTGATTCAAGGTACATGTTACAAAACTTTCAAATTTGAGAACTTCTGTTGTTGATTATAATGTGCGAGCTGAAATTTTGTCCATGGGAATGGGCGTTGATAATTCAGAACATGTAGAAGAACTAAAAAAATTATACAAAGGAGCTAAAATGCCAACTTCTGAAGAAGCCCTAAACCAAACCCCGTAAGTGCATCTCTGCCTCCCAGTCAGGATAGCGGTCCTGTTTTATGGAAGTACGACTCCCAGGTATGAGGTTCAATGAGTGTGCTTGTTGCCATCGCTCAGCTCTAGTGATCACCAAGAAGTAACATGACTCAGAGCCACCTCTGTCACCCTCCCAAAAGAACCATTCTCCCATCATGGAAAAGCATAGCTGGGGTTTGTACTTTGTTAGTACTTTGTTTGCAGTGTGTCTCTCTCATGTCTAGCTTCTGTGACTCAGCAGTCCACCTGCAGTTCATCCACACTAGGCATGTAGCTATAGACCTAAGTATGCCCTGCTGCCTAATGTCCTTTTGTCTGAGTGTACCCTAATTGTTTACCCACTCTGCTGTTGACTTGGGAAACTTAGGTTGGGGCTACTTCAGGTAATAATGCATTAAACATTCTCCTTTGTGTCTTTTGGTCATCTCATGGAGTGGAATTTCTAAACCGTAGTTAGAGCCCCTGCTCCACCTGTTTTCCAAAGTGACTGTCCCAGTTGCCATGCCCTCAGCAGAATATGAGCTATCTAAGTATATGAGATTTGAGTATGTGAATGTATGAGAGACTATGAAGTCAGAAGAGAGGGTATACCGGTGAGCCCAAAGGTGGGTGATGTCATGGAATGTTTGTCCTGGAAGGATTTGTACCAAGAACTAATCAGAAAGAAAGATGCAGACTACTAGGGGTAAAAGACTTGGAGCAGCTGTTTTGCAGTATATGAAAGAGTGCTCAAGGTTACTCGTCAGCAGGGAAGTACATGTTAAAGCCATGCTGAATAATACCTCCACAGCCCCACCTGAAAGGGGAAATGAGAAGGGAAATTCCAAGTGTTGGTGAGGATATGGAGGAACTGGCTTTTAAAAGCATACACAGAGCTGGGGATTTAGCTCAGTGGTTCTGCCCCCTGCCTCCCAAGCGCAAGGACCCGAGTTCGATCCCTAGTACCAAAAAAATGTATATGCAAATATACCTACTTGAGTCCCTGCTTTGACTTCCTTTGGGTGTATAATCAAGCAGAATCTGGCCAGGCAGTGATTCTTCTGCATTTAATGAACCATCACAGAGTTTTCCATACCAGCCGCCCCATTTTTTGGTTCTGCCAGCCATGTGTGGTGACTTCAGCTTCTCCACACTGTCACCTAGGGATCAGCCCAGGATGGAAGCTAGGGGGGCTCTTCTGAGCACGCTTCTTACCTCTGCGCTTGTGGAGTTCTCTGAATTCCCCTTCTGCCTCCTTTGACCTCCAGCTTTTCCTCCAGGCCCCAGAGGTCGGTCTTGTGTCCCCACCTGTCATCACTGGCCTTGGCATCAGTGGGTCTGTCGTGCCTTGGAGTTTTTAGGAGCATGTGCACCACTTTTCTTGCCTGGGACACAGAGACCAGCACCTTGCACGGTCCCCCAGGTGTCCCCTGGGCAGATGGGACCAGACGCACACAGTAACTCACCAGTGAAATCTGCTCTGCTCTCTCCAGTTTGAGTGGGGCAGAAACTAGGCTGCTTCCAGCTCAGGACAAGACCAAGCTGAGGAGGAGGTAGGGCGAGGGCAGTTCATGCCGCAGAACTGTCCTGCCGTTGTGAAGCACAGCATTTTTAATTGCTGTAAACCATTCCCTTGATTGGGCATTTCTTGATTGCAGCACACTTTCAGCTGTTTCGCATAGTGCCTCCAATTAGGCCTCATCTGGTTGTATTCTGACATTTCTGAGAGGGACAGGAGCTTGGGGCCGCCCAACCCATCATTTTGCTCTGTGTGTATCTTCATAGCAAGTTGCTGGGACATTTCTTCAATCTAACTTTGTTCCAGTTGACCTATTAACAGATAAATTAACAGGTAAATACTTGGAATTGAAATACCATTAACTGAAGTGTAGTTTTAAAAGTCACTAAGTATGGTGGCAGATGTCTGTAATTCCAACACTCTGAGAGACAGAGGCGGGAGGTCCCCAAGTTGAGAGCCAGCCTGGGCAACTCAGTGACATTGCAAGCCTCTGTCTCAAAATAAAAAGGGGTAGGGATGTAGCTCTGTGCAGAGGCTCTGGGTTCAACCCCAGTACAACAACAATAATAGTAATAATAATACTAAGAAGAATTATTACTCACTTGGTCAGTGAATATTTAATAGATCCCCCCCTCCCCCGGATTCAGTTGGGGAACAGACAGCCAGCCCTCCCTTCAAGGGGGTTAGGTTTCAGTGGAGAGATGAAGAACGCATAGGTAAAATATGCACAGTGGGTCAGATGGCAGTAGGTGAGATGAAACAGTTAAAGCAGGAAGGAATATGGGGAGCTGGGTCTGGGGAGGGCTAGAGCACAGACTGAAGCAAGATTGTAATGGGTTTCGAGAAGCCTCCTGTGGGCAGAGGGAGGCCTGGGCAGTGAGTTGTGAGATCAGGAGGAGAGCTGAGCCTGGAGCAGCAAGTGAGAGAAAGGGACTCCTGTAGGTCAGAGGGGGTCTGGGGTGAGCTCTTGCTGGACCCTGTGGCCGATGCTAGGAAGATGCTCTCAGGGTTTGGAGCAGAGGAATAACTTGGTCAAAGGACAGCTTGAGGCTGCTGTGCTAGGAATAACTGGAGAGGGGGTGGGGGACACAGGCTGTGCCCAGAGGGCAGACAACATGGCATGGGGAGAAGCAGCTGGTGCTGGGATGTGTCCTGAGGCTGGGGCACAGGGCTTTCCAGGCCTTCTGGATTTGTAGTGAGAGATGTGGGAAGATTAGTAGATCATGTTAAGTTTGGGGCAAATTAGGCAACAATAAGTTCAGTTTTGTGGAAAGAAGGTGTACAAGGCTGGGTTAACAGCTAGGCATAGAAGTCCTCATTGTTCACATTTGGTATTTGTACCTAGATAGCAGCCAGTGCACATTAAAAGGGTTTGCAGAGTTCTGTACACCTGAGCGCAGTGTACTGGGATGAGGGAGGACAGTTCAGGGGGAGGTGGGTGAGGGAGTGGTGGGATCACCTGGACCTGAAGGAGGCCAGCACCTTCCAACCAGCAGGCTAGGAAGGGGTGCAGGGTCAGGTGCTCACGAATGGAGAAGCCATAGAGCTTAGTGAGTGGCTAATGTAAGGGGTCAGACTGTGGCTCTGAGACCCAGTGGCAGACCCAGGACATTGACACTGTGGGCAGTGAGAGATGCTTCCCAGAGAGTGGCTCACTGGAGAGGAAGAGATACTGAATTTGGTTTCAGACATGTTAAATTTTACGTTTATTGAAAGTACCAGCTGAGAGCTTGGAGGAAGCAGTTAGGGATGCCACTTTTGAGGATACTTCGAGGCAGAAGGAGCAGAACTGGCAGAGGAGCATCCAGTGAGGAGGTTAGCTGTGGATGAGGAGGAGGAGGATGCAGCAGCCTGGGGGTGGAGTGCTCTGCCCTCTGCTGTTTGGGGAGTGCCGTGACCGGGTTAAAAGACAAAGGTGAGAAGTCCCCTGGGAGATGCATTAGCTAACACTTCGTCCTCGTAGGATGTGTTGCACTGTGATCTTGTAATTGAGCAGGGATGCCTGTGTCTGTACAGGCTTGCTCATTTAGGCTTGAAGCATCAAGTAAAGGATGCACAAAAAATGAATTATATTGCCACCCTTGAAGGGAACTGGATTCCTGGGAAATGGATGCAAGGTAGGTTTCACCATATAGACGTTTTTATTTACTTTTAAGATACTGAACTGCGTCACCTGCAGTCTCAGCACCCATGGACCCTGAGACAGGAAGAATGTGAGTTCAAGGTCAGCCTGGGCAACATAGCAAGACCCCATCTTTGAAAAAAGAAAAAAATCTTCGATGTGCAGGTGTAGCTCAGGAGTAGAGCTTTTCCCTGCTGTGCATAAGCCCCTGGCTTCCATCCCTAGCACTGCAAAAGAAAAACTCAATGTGATTATGGTGGTTTTGTGGTCCACAAAGCAAAAGAATAATGTAATACAAGAAATTTTTAAAAGAATTAAGTTGACTTTTGTATACTGAGAGGAAGTAATCTCTAGCTAGCTATTAGGTATAATGAAATGAGGAGCAACACATTTAATTTAGTAGGTTGCCATGTGTTTAAGAACATGTATCTGTCTGTTTTAGATAGACATAAGTAGTGTTTGCTTTTTCAAAGAACGTTTCTAGAAGTTGACTTGGCTGGTAATGGGATGGTCTCTGGGAAGATAGCCTGAGAGACAGGCAGGCAAGGAAGGGAAATTCCTTTTCACTTTTTGCCCTTTTATCCTATTTGAAACAAGGTAGAAGTGTATGTTGCTATTCTCAAAATTTCAGTGAATTTGGAAGGAAAATTATTTTAGTAAATAGGCAAATTCTTTTCCTTGATAATCCCTGTCTGTTATTAACCAAGCGCTTGATGCACGGCCCAGCAGTGAGCAGAGCTGGTCAACAACCCTGTCCAGCCCTCGGTAAATCAGTCATCAACTTCAGTGTCGTAAGCACCTCAGTCTTTTAGTGCCTGCCTCCTCTTTTGCTGAAGCATCTCTGAAAGTCCTACAGTTAATCTCTGCCTCTTCTGTCCAGGACACCTCCCTCGACATCTGCCTCATCTCCTTTGCTGTCAGCAGAAGATACCACTTGTCTCCAGGGCTCGAAGCAAGAGAACTGTGGTGCAGAAAGAGGGACTGGCTCTGAGACAAAGTCAGAAAACTCAGCGCCTGGTTGGTACTTCTTAAAGATGGTTAATGAAATCATTCATGTTGGAGAGTTTCTCATGTTTAGGCTTTCCTTTACATCAAATGCAGTGAAGATGACACAAACTGACATCACTTAGCTGTTCCTGCTTAGACAGTTCACTTCAGTGACATTTTTTTGCAGCTGTTTTCCATTTTTGTTATTTGAAGCATAGTGTATAGCTGGCGAAGTGCATGAGTGAGACATATGCAGCTCATCAGGTTTTGTGCATATGCATCTGTCCCTTAGCCATGCCTGGATATGCTGTTGAGGGTTTCCAGGACCCTCCACAGTGACCACTCTGCTGAGTCCTCTCACCATTAGTTTCACTGAATTGGAAGCATGCAATATATACTCTTGTGACTTCCTTCAGTCAACATTACTTTTACAAAATTTCTCTGTATTATCACAAGTAGCAGTAGATTTTAAATTGCTAAGTTGTAGTCTGCGATATGAATATACCACAATGTATAGTCCTTCACTTAGGACTATTGTAGTCAAAGCTGCTATGAACATGGTTGTTTAGGTTTTGAATGGTAGCCTTAAACATCTCAGATCGCAGGGATTAAATTGCATTGTCTTAGAAAATATGTGTTCAGCATTTGTTCCTGCAGCATGATGTCTATATCCTGGATGTCATTTTTGGCACTGTCCTGACAGGTTAAGACAGTACAGAGAAGCCTGGGCATTTGTATCCCATAGGTAGCAGTCATAATGTGGTTCCTCTCCAAAGAGTGACTGTACTTCCCTGATTGTTTAATACTTGTTAAAACTTGTTTTTATTTTAAAATGTTATGTTAATATAACTGATTTGCATTTTTTTCTAATTCTTTGCAACTGGGTACTTGGGTGACTATGAAATTTGTATTACATGAGTACTTTCTCATCTGAAAGTTGGATAAGGTGCAAAACACCTTATGTGTATGATCTGTATATGTTATGTAAAAATATTTGATTTTGTACAGAAACTTTATCTGAAAACCCTGGAGATATTTCCGCTAGTAGAACATTGCAGCCACAGCTGAAAAGGTATGTCTGTCCATTGCTAGAGCACCTGCTACTCCACTGGGGACTAAACACTGGTAATGTGTAAGCCATTCTCTCCCTTTCTAGCTTCCACCCACAAATAAAGTGGTTCCAAAAAGATGATGCTGTCATCCTGAAGATAAAAATAACGAATATAAAGGATTACAAATGTAAATATTTTAGAGATAGAGTTGTTTTCAGGTAAGTTGTGTGTATCTTACAAGGTAAATTAAAATAATTTCCAACACTTAGCAGGTTGACTTTGTTTCTTTTTATAAACCCAGTGCATGGGTGGGAGACAAATTTTACTTGGCTGATATGGAGCTGCAGGCCAGCATAGTAAAAGAAGACTGCAAGTGCATAATTACAAATGATGAGCCTGTAATCACTCTCCCAAAAGAGAAAAGGGGATCCTGGTGTGGCTTACTCCGACAGAAGGTGGGTTGTGAACTGTGGTTGACTGGACTTCGCTGTGTGGCTGTGTTATAGCCACTCACTTCTGTAAACTGTTGTATTGAACAGAATCCTAATGTGACATTTGACTTCGACCACTGGGAAGAATGTGATGAGGACAGAGAGGAAGGCCTCTTCTCAAAGGGTGAGATGGGAAGGGCCCTCTCCCTGAAGGGAGGATCCTGAATCTAGAGTGGGAGGGAGAGGCTGTCAGTTGATCTTAGGGATTCAGACTCTGTGGGAATGGGCTGTTTGAGTAAAGCCCTTAGAAATTTCCTTTCTCTTTCTGGTTGGTTTTGGTACTAAATGTTCTGGTAAGAGGACTTATCAATCTACATACGCTTCGATTTTTTTTTTTTTTTTTTTGGTACTGGGGATTAAACTCAGGACCTTGTGCTTGTGAGACAGGCACAGTGCCACTGAGCTAAATCCCCGGCCCAATCCACATACTCTGCTAATACTTTTACACATAGTCTTTGTAGGGGAGTAATTTATTTGTAAGCAGACAAATTTTACCTGCTCATTTCTTTTTTGTTCGCTTGTTTTATAATTCAGTCTGGTCTTGAACTCGCTATGTAGCCCAGACTGGCCTCAAATTCAAGCCAATCCCGCTGCCTCAGCCTCCCAAATGCTGGTATTACAGGCATGCTCTGCCACACAACCTCTACCTGCAAATTTCTTGCCTAAAATAATGAAAATATTAAATAAGTTGCAAGATAGAGCTAGAATCCAAGAGATATTTTCTGTATTGAGCAAAATAATGGGGGTGGAGAGATTTACTAATCTGTACTTAATATTTTAAAGTAGTATCTAACTCTTTTAGTTGTAAGTTGTAAAAACCAGTCCTGCAAAATGTCCAAGGTGTTTGAAGACAGTGACACCTCTTCACATGATGACGGGAGTGAGAGTGAATAACAGTGTCATTTAAACCTTGAAGAGCACCCAGAGGACTCTGAGCAAAAATGGAAGTTGTTATGTGACTGGAAGTTAGGAAAACGAGCAATCATAGCCAAGCCTTTTTTCAGCTAAAGGATAAGGCTCTACTAAGTGTTGCCTTGTGGCAGCGGGATGGACAATGCTGAGAAATTCTTAGAAATATTTCTGAGAAAAATATGTTAAGAAGATGATGTTGCTGATGATGATGATTGTCAGAGGAGGGTGGAAGCGGGGTCTGGGGTGAGAGAAGCAAAAGCGCAGGTCTGGTCCAAGCCCAGGCTGCAGTGTGTGTCCCCCCAGCCGCCTCTCACACCCATCCTGACATGCTCAGGTTCCGTGGCACAGAGCACACTATGGCAGTCGGGTGATGGGCTGTACTCCCTGGAGTCCGTCCTCACGCTTTCGTCACTTAGACCTCCACTTGTGTTTGGTATGTTCTTCAGAACGCAGTCCTATGCATGTAAGTGGAGGCTTCCACCTTGCACATTCGTACTTGGCAACTACCTCACGGACCATTCAACCATAAGTCCGTTGGGATTTGCCGTAACTGAGTAAAGTACTGATGCTTTTACAGTTCTCAAGACATGGAGAGCTGCTGAGACAAGGAAGCTCACATCTTTTCCCAAGGACAGTGGGATGGCCTCCGTGAGACCAGCAAGACCCAGGCTTTCTAGAGGTGACGCTTCGGGTTCTGGATAATGCCTGGACTTGAAAAGGGACTAAGGCAGTGATGACAAACCTTCTAGAGCTTTCAGCAATACAAACGGTCCACTGAGGCATGTGTGCCATAGTTTCTCTACCGCTGGACTAAGGGGTCTTTGTTGGCAACTTAACAGGAGTCGTGCAGTGCCTGGAGGTAACCTTCAGAACACCTGGGAGAGGTGAGCACCCTGGGTAAGGTGATAGCACCTGTCGTCACCAGATTCTTGGGAGAGCGTACATAGTCCTTGCCACTTAGGGTAGGAGTGTCCAGGGGCTGACCTTGCGTGTTTGGATTTCTTTGTTGATTGAGAAAGTTGGAAATGTGAGCTGTTGGGAAATTGAAAACCTTATGCACTCAGCTGAGGCGGGAGGATCACAAGTTCAGGGCGAGCCTGTGCAACTTAGCAAGACCTTGTCTCCAAAAGGGCTGGACATGTAGCTCAGTGGTAGAGCACTCCTGGGCTCAACCCCTAGCATTCCACTCCCCACAAAACAAACCCCTGTGCACTTCCTCCATGTCAGTTGTTAGATTCTTCTAGAAGTAGAAAAGACCACTGACAGAGCGTGACTCGGGGGTGAGCACTGCAAGACCTCTATTCTTTTTGTCACCGCTCTGCTTCTGTTTCCTCATCTGTGAAGTAAGATCCTGAGCTCACACACAGCCTCCCTTCTCCACAGGCAGTGGCCAGGGACCTGCTCTGCGTCTGTGCGGGGACTCTGTGACAGGCATCAGAGCACTGCCCTCCAGGTGAAGGATGTGGCCCAGCCTGGCTAGAGGCCAGGAGCCTGTCCTTGCTCCCCTGTGACTCTGATGGGTTGATTGGCAGGTATCAGCTTGGCCATGTGAAGTTGGGTGGCTCATGACGAAGCAGAGAGTTCTGGTGTGTTTGCTGGAAAGGCTGCACTCAGAGCTCATCCTTGTCAGTGGGCTCTCTGCAGTGGAGGCCTAGAGCAGTGGCCAGGCCTCCTGAGCCTGTCCTGTGGGCAGCAGCTTGCTGTGCTGAGTCTCTTAGGAATAGCAGTGGCGCGTCCTAGAGAGCACAAGCCTGCTTCCAGTGCAGGCGGCAGTGGTACCTGCCTGGGAGAAGACACAGTGCAGACTCTTGCGGTCCACTGACAGACACTGAAAATACTGGGGCAGGAGGGCTATGGGTTTCAATCTCAGCTTCTTTTTCAGACACTCGAATTTTCTAATATTTAAAATTCTGAATAGTATTTTGTAGGAAGTGGAATGCCGACTATGTCAACAGTTACTAATTGTTTTTCTGTACTGCTATTAAAACATACGGGTTCAAGTCTGGGTAAATTTCTGAAATGCAAAGTAAAAGCACTTTAGTGTTTATGCTTCCAAAATTGGTCATTGCTCTGTTTTGATGTGAATGACTTTTGCTTGCAGTGTCTCATCAATAAAATTTCAACGTTTCCCCCAGAAATGTTACTGTTTACATTTTTTAAACAATATTTTCCCTGAATGCCAGATGCAAAGTAAAATTTTATTCACTATGCTTTCTGGTGACCAAAATACCAGTGAAAGCTGGTGGGAGCAGGTGGTGTGACCTGTGATGAAGCTGACCCTTGTCACGCAGGCTTCCAGTAGTCCTAGAGGGGTGAGGAGCTTGGCAGTGAGGGTCTTGTTAGGCAGCCTGGCACTGACCTGCGGTGTACATCGCAGGTAAATCACAGAGGCAGCAGTGCTTTTGAGGTAGGGAGTCAGAGTAAAACGTACTTTAAAAAATCTTTTAAAAACAATTGGCACTAATAAATATCAATCACAGTGAAAGTATTACCTGATTTATGTAAAAGAGTAGACTTTATTGATCACTGAGTTTAAGGAATATCTTTTATTTTTAATTTCATTTAACTTATTTACTTGCAGTGCTGGTGCTGGAATCCAGTGCCTTGCATATGCTAAGCAAATGCTCTGCCACTGAGCAACACCCCAAGTCCTGCTCTGTGTTTCAGTGTGATGTGCCCTCATTAAATAGTTGTCACCAGAATGGTGGTGGTTTTATGCAACCTGCCAGCAGCCTTCTGTTAGGTGACTCTTCTCTTGATAACTAACACACACCTATCACTTCTCCTATAGAACCCCTCCCATAGAATTAAGGTTATCTAAAGATATTACATAAACACTGGAACACTTTTCATAAGAAAAAGAAGAAAGAATCACAAATACTGCTTACAAAAATAAATTCATCACAGCTTTGACTGAGCTACAAGAGATGCATTTGTTAATCCAGATCTTTCTCCGGTGGGACGATTTCCATCAGCATCTGTAGGTACATGGTAACTGGCTCTGGAACACAAGTCAGCAAGTCATGAAAGTTAGAAAAATGTAGCTGAGAGGCCTCACTGTGCTTGTTGGTGAGCAGTGATATTATTCTTACCCTGTGGTAATATGTCCCTCTTAGACCCTATACTCAGGATATCTGGTGTTTAAAGTGAATCAGAACTATCCTACTAGCTGCACTGCTTCTTCGGGATTCAGTTCTTTCCTAAATATTACTCCCCCTCAACAATTTACCCAGTAGGAGACTATGAGTGACTCATTTATGCAGGTGTGTTTACTACCACTGACCAAGTGGTGACTAGTCTTAAGTCACTGAGACGGGTTTTGTTTCAAATACAGATTGGTTTTTTTCCACTACCTTGACCCAACTGCTTATCAGTTTTTGGAGGGAACAGCCAAGAAGCAAACCACATTTTGTACCATGAGGTTGCAAGTCGTCCTGCTTAGGCTCTCTGTCAATCTGATCAAATCCAAGTGCATTTCTGAGGCTCAGGGCGGGGGCGTTTCACTAATTTTCTTTCCTTTCTATAGCTGTGTGCCTGTAGCCCATCAGCTTAGGTTAAGAGCAAAGAGGTTGGGGGTAAAAGGAACTACGTGGGGAAGGAAAAAGTCCTGATGGAAATGACACTCGTGTCATGCGTTGTTTTCACTTTGCTAATTACAGAAAATGAATTCTCCCTCTCGCCTCTAGCACCACTGTCAGGTAAGCGATGGTCCCTGACTCCCCAGCTGAGCAGACAGGGGAAAGGCTCTGAGGACAGACAAGCTCAGCCACTTTCGGCTGCACCTGAGTCCCACGTCTACTTTCCTGCCTTCTAGTTGGGTGTTGCTCTTCCATACCTCTGTAAGTTTTATGTAAATGATGGATGGATGGCTGATTATTTTCATTTTCCAAGTTGCAGGTACATAAATAAAAACCTCATAGGGCCAGCAGGATTTACTTTCCTGGCCAGATAGGCCGACAGGAGCAAGGAAGAGCTAAGTTTCTCATCACAGTTAACAAAAGAAATATCCAGTAGCTGGAGTGTGCCGGGCACAGTGCTGGATCCAGGATGAAATTGTGCACCGCCCCAGTTCAAGGCATTCAGAGCAGAGACAAAATGGGCCACTGACCGCCTCACTCCCTGGTGAGCCTCCTCAGGAGCCCTGAAGGTTTCCCGAAACTAAGCTGTTGTAGGAGGCAAAATGTTGTGAATATAATACTGCTACCAGCTTTTAAATATCGTTACAGTTCAGCCTCTCTTTTCATAGACTTTGGCATAGTGCTTCTTTTTAGAAGGAAAGAGGCTAACGTGGCTCAATTAGTAAACATTTGTCCTAAGATAGATGAGGGTCAGGACTGCAGAATGAAGAGTGACACCTATGGCCTCAGTGCAGGAAGGCTCAGGCCCTTCTCCCAGTTGCCCCCAGTGCCAACTTGCCCACTTTGGGGTCTTTGGGAGCCTCTTCGATGATGTCTCCATAGCTGTCAGGAGAAAACGGTGCTCTGGGGATGAGAATATACTCCATACTACTAAGCCATCCACTCAACATTGAGAAGGAAATTTTGTGTTAAGTGTATTTAACAATTAAAAAGAAAATAGTCCTTTTCCTTCCTACTTGTTACAGTCATTAGCAGGAATGAAAGCCACGTATGGTGGTGCCTGTCTGTAATTCCACACTGTGGAGGCTCAGGCAGTAGGATCAAGAATTCAGGGCCTCCCAATGATGAATATAACTATATTTTATATAAATGTAGCAATAAATTTAACAGGAAAGAAAATAAAATAAAGTTCTAAAAAAAAAAGAATTCAGGGCCAGCTTGGACAACTCCGTGAGACCCAGTCTCAACCCAGTGACCCCCCTCCTCCAGGGTTGAACCCAGAGGCACGGCAGTGGGGGAGAAGGTCACATGTCCTGGGGTGACATCTGCTGGATCCTGTGATGAGGGTATTTGCAGGATGAGGAGAGGTAAGGTGGTGGTTTGCTAGGCTGCCTGACCTTTTCTAATATCAAGAAGCCTTCTGGTGATACTTACTTGAGATTTTCTGAGCCCATCCAAACTTGCAGTAGACAAAAAGGAAGTAAAATATAAGGCCGCTCAGTATAAACAACACACAGTAGAGATATTCCCAGGCAGGCTTGCTGATGATCGGCGCCAGAACCAAAAACACAGATAGGAGAATCACCAAGACGGGGATGAAAATAGGCACCTGCAAAGAAGACAGCAAACAGGGGTCATGGTTTGGCCTCAGTGGTGTTTTATTGTCCCCCTAAATCCTCATGGAATCATAGGCAGGACCTTTAAAAGGTGATGGGTTATGGGTATATTATAACATACTTGCTGTTAAAAGTGGCTGGTTGAAAAGGGAGTCATTGTGGATGAAACACAGGATTCTAACTCCTTCCTGGCTCCTCCCCTGAGTATCTCTCTGCTTCCTGAATGGCATGAGGTGAACAGCTTTCCTTCCACCATGCCCCTCTGCCATGCTATCCTACCTTGGAGCCAGCTAAGTATTAACTAAACTGAGCTGAAATAAAGTTCCCCTTCTCTAAGTTGCAGGTGTCAGGTATTGTGTCTCACTGAAGAAGAAAGTGACTAATATATTGCTTATTTGTTGGAGAAACTGGATAGTTTGTTCTCTCTAGCATCTTATGCTAGTTTTGCATGATTGCTTCCTTTGCATGTCATTTAACTTTGTCCTGTCTTTCCTGTAGATGAGTAGTGAGAGAGAGAGAGGCATAATGCTTGGTAGTCGGAGCAGTGTACATCGTTGTGTGTCACATGGATGGGACTCTTAATGTCAGATTTTCCCACATCTGAATTGCTGAGACCTGGGCAGGTCTCCATTGTAACTGCCCCCACAGTGGCGATCATGGTTTAAAACTAAAGCTAAATATTTAGTGGTTTCAGCCTCCACTGATCATTGCCTTGGTTATTTCATCAGTGGTTGTAAAATGTCAGTTTTCTAATTCTGTATTCTGGATTTAATTATTTGAAGTTCTACAGTAAAGAACTTCAGCTGTTATTCTAAACTGCAGTTTGTATAGGAAAGGCATGATGAATACTTGATTCTTTTATTTCTTAGTTTTCACAGTGATGAGTTGGTTCCCTGAAACCTCCAGTGGTGACTCAAACTCACGTGTTGTTATGTATTTGTGGGTTTCAGCCCTTTGTAGTCATTTTTGCTGATATTCAGAATGTCCTATCAATACCAGCAGGATCCCCATGAAATTGGCTTTGGCCCTTTGGTGTGACCCCAGTGGTCTTAGGCAGCTTTTCTGCTTTGTGTGACAGGATGTTCCAGACCTGGATTCACTCATCTCTCCAGGGAACTTCATATCCCTTTCATGAGAAATGGGATGTAAAGATGTTATTCTGGGTAAGTGAAATATTCATTGTTCTTTTAGAAGGACAGCGATAAATAAGCTTCTTAGGGCAAAAAAATCATAAATTCATACTGATACGTTCGTGGAAATGTAAATATTCTTTTTCTTCCATTATTTAAGATTTGTCTCTTATTTTCAGTATAATTTCTAAAAATCTTGTTTCTCAATAGGTTAACATATAATCTTTATCCTAGTATGTATGTATATTAATTTCAAAATAACCGTGTTATTGCTACTATTATGAATAGTACCATGACATTTAAGATATTTTTGTGCAGTTCTTTTTAACCACAGTATGTAATCCACAATGGAGATTCATTTAAAATACTACACTTTAATACTAGTTCTGGTACTTATTTTCTCTGTTTGGTTATGTTACCTACTTGTTACAGAGTAAGGTTTAGTTCCATTTGTTTTTAATTTTTAGAAATGCATTTTTTCCTTTATATTTGTTTTGGTTTTTAGTATACTTTTTTACTTCTGCTTTTTTCCCCATAATACTGTGTCTTAAACTGAGGGTGTTCAAGATGTTAGCCTTAGTGTGTGTGTGTGTGTGTGTGTGTGTGTGTGTGTGTGTGTGAGATATTACTTGCAAACATTTTCTCATTATTTTAGAAGTGTGTTTCTTTCTCAAAGACAGGCATGAATTTTTCGTTTATTAGGATATTTTTATCAGTTTTTTTCCCCTTACTACTTTTGGATTTTGAGTTAGAGTAAACAACCCCATTTATGAATTTAGAATTTGTTTTGTTCATGCAGCAGTGCCATAATATTTCAATTTTAGAACCTTGAATAGTGAGGTTGTATTTTAGGGTTTTCCTTCATATTCTTGCTTGCATGTTCTTCAGTATGAATTTGTTAATTCATGCAGCTCCAAAGAAGAAAAGCATGGTGAATTTTATGATTACAGTAGATGTCTAAATTAAGGAACATTGAATTTTCCTGTTCAAGAACATGTGTGAATTTCCATCTGTCCAAGTTTACCATTTACATCTTTCAAGAGTATTTTATAGGTTTCCAGGGAGGGCCCTATCTCCTTGAAGTTAGTAAGCTTTTTGTTGTGTTTTGCTTTGGGGCATGAGATACTCTCTTCAGTTATTGTTCTATAGAAGTCACTTGCATAAAGGCTTTGGATTTCACTATGCTAACTTTATATATTGCTACTTTGCTATAGATTCTCTTCAAAAGAGGAGAGTTTTGAAACTTTTATTTCCCCTGCAAGACTGAGGATTGGACCCAGAGTCTTTGCACTGGACTACATCTTTAGTCTTCTAAAATTTCTTTTCAACAGACTGTCACTAAGTCACTAAGTTGCCCAGGCTGGTCTGGAATTACCATCATCCTTCCTCTGGCTCCCAAAGAGCTGGGGTTATAGGTGTGCACCACTACATCTGGCTTAGAGACTTTTTTAATACTTGTTTTCTTCTCATTGCCTTGCTAATATCCTTAAAACAATGCTAAATAATAGAAATAGAAGTCATTCTTCTTCCTAGCTTTGGCAAGGATCTCTCTACTTATCAAATAAAATAGCTTTTTGCCTTGGGATGGGAGAGGTAGCAGGAAGGCTGGCCATATTAAGGTCTGTTTATGTCTTTATCTTTCATGTATGTTGAATTTTATTTTTTGTCTATGATGATCACAGTTTTCTCCATAGGTATGTCAGTGTAGTGAATTAAACACATCCATAAGTTAGTGGACTTTATGACCTTTAGCCACCCTTGCATAGACTGGACATATTTGTGACATATTTTTTAATGTAACTGATATCAAGTTATTAACATTTATTATTATTATTCATAAGTGAGACTATCAATCATGTTTCCTTTTTATGCTATCTTTATAAGGGTTGCTATTAATATTCTATACAAATAATTTGAAAATAGGACTTCTGGGAAAATGGTGGTGCAGTGCGCAGCAGTGAGCCAGCCTCTGTGAGATTCAGAGTCCGGACACTGTGATACAACAGCTTGGAGAAGAAAAGAAGGAAGGAGGTGAATCCCCAGGACCCAGGAAGAATCTCAAGGGAATCATCGGAGCCCACAGAGAAGATGAAGAGATGGACCTCAACACAGAAAAGGGAGGTGGCAAACTTCACTTCCTCCCTGACTCCCAGCTCTCAACATGAGAGAGGAGGCTCAAATCTACAGAGATACAGTGGGGGCAGGTGACCCCAGAGGCTTCCACAGAGAAATCCTCCAGGGGAATGGAGCAATGGATGCTGTGAACTACGACAGCTGGTGATTAATTCCAGTCCAAATGTCTCCTACAGAGGGAGCATGGCCATACACCATTGTAGGGAGGTGACAGCTGAACCTGGGACTTGAGTTGTATGCTGGGTTCTGCTCAGGGCTCCCAGAGACTGTGTGAGGCACCACTGAGGGAGACATCCAGGGCTAGGGAGCTGAGATCAGGGCAGCAAGAGACACCCAGGGAGTTGTAGGTTGAACAACTCAGGCACCAGCCCCACAACCAGAGGCCAGGATTAGCTTGAAGTTTTGTGGAATTGAAAGCACCAGAATTGGCTATTCCTACTGCAGGCTTGCTGGGATTATGCAGAATTCTGCCCTAATCCTACTGAAGGCTTGCTGGGAACATACAGCACATATCTGGGCACTGTCTGCCTCCTATGTCTAACAGTGACAGTGGAGACACACACTGAATTGAACATTACCACAAATCCGTAGCTCCTAGATGATAATCACAGGGTTGAAATCACAGAGAAATATTTTCTCTTTGCTTGTGTTTGTTTTTCTTGATTGTTTGTTTTTGTTTTTTCATGAGTGTGAACATTACTTTTAGGGTTTTTGTTTTTGTTTTTTCCTTCTTTCTTTCCCTCCTGTCTTCTTCCCCAGTTTTCCAAAGGTCGGGCAGTTTTCCTTTATCCTTCAGCCTTGTTTTTAATCTCTTTCTCTTCTTTTCTCTAGTTTTTCCTTTTCTTTCTTTTCGGTTTTCTCCCCTGAGGGTAAAATCCCTTTATTGAGAGGATATTTACTGTGCATAATTTTCTGATTTGTTTTAGGTTTTTTTTTGGTACAGGGGATCAAACTCAGGACCTTGCTCTTGGAGGCAGGTGTGGCACCACTGAGCTAAATCCCTGGACTCCTAGATTTTGTTATATAACTGTCAATCTTGTACCTGTGGTTTAAGGAGGTAACAGCACAGTTTGGAATTTTCTAGCCTGTGCTTGATGCTGCGGTTACTACTGATGGCACTACTTTAGCTAAGGTGGCATAGTTGTGATCAGTTGTTCTTCCAATAACAAGATTGTCTTGGGGTCATAAACAATACCATAATCCAGGACCAAAGAACTGAGTGCTAGGCCAAATAGGCAGCAACTTCTCATCCCTAAATGAAGAGACAGGATCTTGAGATAGATTCAGAAGCCAAAAGCCAGATACACCCAGAAGACATCTCTGAAAAGTAGTCATTTCCTCAATACAAGTAACAAAACCTACCTACATCAAAGCAGGAAAGAAATTTGAAAATTATAAAATGAGACATGGAAGCAAAATGCAGTCCTAGACCTTCAGCTGACCCAACAAAAATCCAGGGGGCATTGAAGTGGAAGAAATAAAAAGCCACCCAGCTGAACTTTCTGAAATTGTAGCACCAGAAGTAACACAGCAGATGAATAACACCCTAGACTAAAACAAGTCAGAAATAATTACACAGATTACTAATGAAATGATGACCATAATCAAGGATATTTTTAATGAATCTAGAGTAGATACAGATTTTTAAAAAGAGGAAAGTAGGGCCAGGGATTTAGCTCAGTGGTTCTGCCGCCTGCCTTGCTAATGCAAGGTCCTGAGTTCGATCCCTGGTACCAAAAAAAAAAAGTTGGGCCTTTGGAAGCTGAATAGGTTTTGAAGGCTCTCTATTCATGAATGAAAAAAAAGAGGAAAGTAAGAAAGTGGTGGAAATTATGAATGCCAAACATAGGGAAAAACTGGATTCCATAAAGCAGATTCAAACAGATATCCAGGATATTAAATTTTCTATTGTAAGTATATGCAGCAGAATCAACCAATGTGAAGATAGAATATCAAATATAGAAGACAGGTTTGTGGTTATTGATCATCAGATGAAAGAATGAAAGACTCTATTTGCACATAAAGTGGATTTCAAGCCAAGACTGATCAGAAGAGACAAAGAATGTCACTACATGCTTGTTAAGGGAATAATCCAAGAGGAAGAGATAACAATCATAAATATGTATGCACCAAACAGCAGCACATCCAACTAGATAAAACAGACACTAATGGATATGAAAAATCAGATAAGCAGTAATACAGTTATAATAGGGGACCTCAATACTCTTCTGTCTCAAATCAACTAGACAAAATTTGACAGATATCAGAGTTGAACCAAACCTTTGAACAAATAGACTTAGTGGATATCTACAGAGTGTTTCAACTCACAACAGAATACACATTCTTCTCAGCAGCATACACGACTTTCTCCAAAATAGACCACACACTAGTTCATAGGACATGCTTAAGTAAATGCAAAGAAACTGAAATTATACCATGCATATTATCAAATCATAGTGCAATGGCACAAGGAACCACAAAAAGTATATAAACAATGGAAATTAAAAATACCCTCCCAAACAACCAATAGGTCACAGATGAAATTAAAGAAGAAATTAGTTTGTACAATAAAATGATAATGCTAATATGACACAGCAGAACTCACAGGATGCAATAAAAGCAGTCCTGTGAGAATAATTTATAGCATTGAATTCCCATGTCAGAACAGCAAGCTCAAATAACCTAAAGTTGAAAAAGTTCTAGAAAAAGAGCAAGCTAAACCCAAAGCACATATGAGAGAGGAAATTACAAAGATATGAGCAGAAATTAATGCAGTTGAAACTAAGGTCAGTACAAAGAATCAGTGAATTGAGTTGGTTCTTTAAAAGACTGAATAAAATAGACAAACCCTTAACCAACCTTATCAGAAAGGAAAAAACTCAAATCCATGCAATTAGGAATGCAAAGGGCAAAATCACAGGGGATCCTGCAGAAATTCAGAGGATCATCAATACCTACTTTGAGAACCGATACTCTATTTTTTAAAACATTTTATCCCATTCCCTCTTTCAAGCCCCCTCCCCTCCCTATGTACAAAAGCTTTGTTTCCATTTTTTCCTTCTATTTTCACTTTTTTCTTGTCCCTCCCTCCTCCCTTGTTCCCCTTCCCATTTAACAGTTTCTTCCCATTTCCCAACATCCATTATACATTTCAGTCCTTATTTCCACTTTTGGTTTCTCACACCAGAGACACAATGCAATATTTAAACGTGTGTCTGATTTACTTAAGGGTATATTCTCAAGATTCCTAGATACATATAAATTATCAAAGCTGAGTCAAGAAGGTATAAGAATTCTAAATACAATACCAGTCAATGAAATTGACTACCAACAAAGTGCATCCTGACAGATTTACTGCTGAATCCTATAAGAAATCTAATGCCACTACACCTCACTTTCTTTAATGAAATTCAAAAGAAAGCAAAACTCCCAGACACATTCCTGGAAGCAAGCATTACCCTGATTCCAAAACCAGAGAAGGACCCAATCAAAAAAGAACTACAGGCCAATCTTAATGAACATAGATGTAAAACTTCTCAATAAGATAGTGGGAAACAGAATGTAGGAAATCCTCAAGAAGATTATATATCATGACCAAGTAGGATTTATTCTAGGGATACAGGAATGTTTAACCTACAACTCAATAAATGTAACACACCACATTCACAAGACCAAAGACTAGAACCACACAATCATCTCAATAAATACAGAAAAAGCATGACAAAGTTCAATACCCATTCATGATAAAAATCCTACAGAAAATTAGAATAGAAAGTCTTTATCTCAATCTGACAAAAGCCATTTATGACAAACTAATAGCCAACATCATACTAAATGGTCAAAAACTGAAAAGTTTCACTCTAATAATAGGAACAAGACAAGGATGTCCATGATTACAACTTGTATTCAATATGGTTGTGGAAACGTTAGCTAGAGGAATTAAGAGAAAGAGAAGAAAGGACTATGGATAGGAAAGGAAGAATTTAAATTATCATTTGCTGATGACATGATACTGTACATAGAAGACCCCAAAACTCCACCAAAAGACCCCTAGATTTAATAACCAAATTTGGCAGCATAGCAGGATACAAAGTCAAGGCTGAAATATCAATAGCATTCTTGCATGCAAATAACAAACTCACTGAGAGAGAAATTAGGGAAATCACACCTTTTACACAATAGCATTGAGAAAAATGAAATATTTGGGAATGAATCTAACAAAGGAACTGAAAAATCTATACATTGAAAAGTACAGTACTCTGAAAAAGGAGGTCAAAGAGGGTTTCAGAAAATGGAAAGATATCCCCTGATCTTGGATAGGCAGAACCAGTATAGTGAAAATGGCCATACTTCCAAAACTGTTGCACACATTTTATGCAATCTCAAAATACCAACAGCATACCTTACCGAATTAGAGAAAACAATCCTGAAATTCATTTGTCACCAGAAGAGACCTATAGTAGTAAAACCAATTCTGGGTAACAAAGGCAAGGCAGAGGGCATCACAGTCCCCAATTTGAAGTTATACTGAAAGATACTGTGATAAAACAGCATGGTATTGACAAACAAAAGGCCGTTCCACTGCTCCCACCCCAGAGGAAGTGAGCCATGTGGGTGCCAACAGCACACCCCCCTCGAAATGAGAAGACAAGTCTCAAAACCAGACTTCCGGATCACCTACAGCAGCCCCAAAGGGAAATGAGATGGAACACTCTGATACTCAACCACCTGGACTCCAGGAACTGGCAACAAAAGAGGATGTGGAAAAAATGAAATCACAAATAATTTATCTGATAACAGCAGAGATTGTGCCCATAGTACAAGACATGATTCATCTAGAGAGGACACAGATAAAAAAAATAGAGGCACTGAGGAACACGATGGAATCCCGACATAGGAAACAAATGGAATCCCTAAAGCATATTTCCAGGAGATAAACTCCATTGAAAGTCTACACAGCAGAACGTGGCCAATGTGAGGACAGAATTTCAGATATAGAAGATAAGATTGCAATTAGTGACCAGGAAAAGAAAAATTTCTTTAAAATAGTAAGGGACCACCAGAAATCAATCCAGCACCTGGTAGACAATGCAAAGAAGAACAACGTAAGACTGATTGGAGTCAACGAAGAAACAGGAGAGAGTGCAGATGACGTAAACAAAACTGTTCACAGAAGTAATGGCAGAAAACTTCCCAAGCAGGGGAAAAGAACTTGACATACAGATAAGTGAGGCA